CCCACACGTTGGTTGACTTGCCCGACCGCAGACTGCAGTTCCCTGCGGAAAAGGTCCCGTATGGCTTCCAAAGTTAGCCCCGGGCCCTCGATTCTGCCCCTCTTCGGGGGGCTCATGTCCAGGAGGTCGTGGCTCCCTGTGCCTGTGCTGGGCACCTCCGACGTTTCCGGGTACCCTGTGCTCGACAGCCCCGCAGGCGAGTTGGGCTCCAGGTGCATGCTTTGCGGCGAGTGCCCCTTTCCAGCCATGGGTGAAGATGCCCGTCTCAGTGAAGTTGCCCAAGTCACGAACGTCCGGATTAGGTAGTCCCTCGCCCAGCGACGAAGGTGCGGAGAATCAACGGGTCCCCCTCGCAAACGAGTAGGCTCGCCGATCTCTTTCTGGTAGCTGGTGTCAAACGCCCCCGCTCGCCCCCAAGCGCCTATCCCCTCGAGAACCGTCCCCCACGAGGTCGCGCGGAAGGGCGTGCAAGTTGTAGACGCGTAGGTCTGCAGACGGGTAGTACTGCTGGAAATGGCGGCACGGACGAGGCAAAGCGGTTTCGGGGGTGCCTCTCACTCTCCTCTCGGCCGGGTTGGAGACCTGGTCGCAGGGGGCGGTCTCTTGAGCCGCTGACGGCTTGAGCCAAAATGGCTCTCTCTCTCTCTCTCTCTCTCTCCAGGGCATGGGGATGGGTCAGCATCCTGGGCGCCAGGCCCACCCCAACGTTGTGTTGGGCCACGGGGAGTGAAAGTCGAGCATAGCTGATCGATGGGCTAAAGCCATAAAGAATACGATAATGTAGACTCTCTCTTTCTTTCGCCAGGGCTAGGGCGGCCAGGGACAAGGGGGAAACCCCCTTGCCCGCGCGCTCTCTCTCTTCTGCACAGCCAAAGGAAGGCAGAAACCCTGCCCTCTCCGCGCGCGCACGGGCACTTGTCTTGCCGGTCTGTTCGTGCCTACGAAAACGAGATGAGGCCAAGGACTTGTAACACGCGTTTTCCCCCCTTAACTGAAGCCTACTTCAACCCCCGGCCTCATCTCTTGCTGGGCTGCTGCAGGCTCTGTGCCCCGTCTCGCAGTTGATTACTGTGTTCGCTATTCGCAGCTGGTCCGGACTGAAACACGGTCCCCACCATCGCATGCCTCACAACACACTGCGCTACTGTTGTTCCGGACTGCTCTCAGCTTCAAAAAAACGTGAGACTGTACCCCCGCTCTGTACACTCTAGTGGACAAGACAGCAACACCATGCGAAACTGGACTGAACACATGCAGTTACGGCGACGGGCTTCCGTTAGCATGCGGACTTCACTTCCGGACAAAGTATATGCCTACACTGCCACCACTGTTACGACTGCTCTGTGTTGCCGTGTTCATCAAAGTCTCTCTCTCTCTCTCTCTGTCTCTGTCTCTCTCTCTCTCTCTCTACATCTCCATGCACAGACGACTTCTTCCTCAGCTGAGCTGCCGCTTCTTCATGATCCTGATGCAATTGTTGGCTGCTCGGTATGGCAAACATAGCAAGCTCTTGCCAGTTCTGGCATCAATCGATTGTGGAGCCTTTCGACATCCCGCTCTGTCAGCTCTTCGTCTGCAGCTGGAATTGTGTCATCGTCGTCCACCTTCTCTGCAACCTCTTCTTTGGGGCCTGCAGCGCACATATGCCAAGTATGCCATACCTACAGAGTCCACAAGTGTCGTCGGAGCCTTTACCTTTCTCCGGCCAGTACAGCTCCAAGCGCGTCTTCTGCGTTCCGGGAACCTCACAACCTCGCCCGCGAGCGGGAGGCGACCGCAATGAATGAGACGTTTGGTTTCGGAGACACACACCCACACAGAGCTTTCGAAATCGTTGGCCTAAGGCCCAGCGAGAGAACTCGGAGTAGTCCACGACCTTAGCAGATCGGCGATGCTGCCGTTCCGTCTGCAAGCGATGCCATAGCGATGACATGCAGGGCTCGCCCGAGCCCAGCAAAAGCAAATTCAAATTCCGTGTTTTGCAGTCGAGATGCAAAGTCACCATCTTTGTCCATTGCTAGCTGGAAGGCGATGACATACTCTTTCCCCCTTAGCTTCAAGCGCCAGTGAAGCTCAACCTATTTTCCGCCCCCAGCCAATCTTAGTATGCCTATATAAGCCAAGTCTCAGCCCAATTCCGGCCAGACATCTCTCAAACTCTTCTAGCTCCAAGACACCATTACCGTTACCTCAGCCGTCACACTCTATCCAGCATAGTCAGTTGCACCTCCTACCTTCTTTGACCAGCCATCTTCTTGGATGCGTTGGTGTCTTGTGGGAAATCGTCGACCGGCCATTTGCGGAGCTTTAGCGAAAGCAGCAACGCACACGCATCCAAGGAGCTGTCATAGCCTTGGAATCGCGAAGATCGTGTCCGGCAGTGCGTGCTCATGCTAAATGCGAACTAATGAACCAGGAGACAGCAGAAGACATTATGAAACATGCCGAGCTTCATTGAAAGACCTCGAGGACCCGATCCAACATCTCATTGCTGTCCCTCTTTGGCTGTACCACTTTGAGATTTGCTGGTCTTAAAGCTTTGACAGCATCCGCGAGCTGCACATGGACGCGGCCCTTCCTCGGATCTCAACTTGGCATTCGGATATATATACATATACGTATATTTTATTTTAGAAGCATAATTACATAAATATGTGATGCATATATGTATATATGTACGTGTGTATATCTATATATACATATATACTGATATTGTAAATAAACTATATACAAGTTTACGAAGAAGCAGCCCCTTGCCTAGCCACCAGCCAAATCGATAAAGACAGGGCTCTCGGGAAGCCAAGCCAAGCATGTGCCTTCTTGACCATTCAGCTCGCGGACGGACTGGGCAGTCGTGGGAAAGACGGAATACAATTGATGGGGAAGCTGACAGGGCTTCAGGCGTGCGGCATGCTCAACTCTGCTTCGAATCAGTTGTCCGCCGACCTCGCTCCTTTCTGGGGGAACCTAGCTGACCTGGCCTAAGGAAGGCTTTACGCTCGGCAGCTATGCAGGGTCTTTCGTAAATGCAGAGAGTGTACTATGTGTGTGGATGCCTCCAGCATTGTGGCAGCCAACAGCCGGATCCAATTTTCGGGAACATCCATTCAATAAGATACCCGAAGAACAGCCACGCGTAAAGGGTGGCTGCTGCATTAACCACGGCAGCAAGGAAGGGTCCAATATGCGTAGCTACGAGACGATTGTTGACCGTCAACCCTTGGAGGCGCACCGTGTTGCCGCATCATGTAGCATCTCTCCATCTCAAACTTAAACAGGACCCATGTCGGCAAAATCAAAACTCGTCGTACATGTTTTGTGGCCTGCAGAGTGTGAGTCCCTTCCACTTGCGGTACCATTTTAGGAATAAGCAACCTTCTAAGACAAGCCGCTCGGATTCCATGGATGATGACATGGACTCCGGGACGAAGGACCTTCGTCAACATCCGGGGAGCAACGATTCATGTCTTGACATGTGCGCCCCACCCCGGAGCTGAATATTGCATTTCTCGTGGACAGCTTGGGCCACAACTCCTCCCGACGAACCACGGGGGTAGTTGCGATGTCGGTCCGACATGGCTTGGCCAGTGGCGACATTAGCTCTCAAGATCCTCCGAAGAATATCCACGTCAGTTCGGTCAGCTTTACCAAATATCGTCGTAAACATGCTTAAACGGCTTTGATGCATGGGTTATCAAGTATCTCTTCGTGAGACAAGTGTGCTGACAGTGACCGAATTTTTACATGACTCTTATGAGGTGGTTGTTGGGACAAACACTGTGATTTCAACTAGCAACTGTTCATGACCCAGTGTGAGTATATGATACAGATAAACAGACTGATGGGGACCTGCTGAACTCAGGACAGGCATGGTCTGTGATTCATGCGACTTGACCAACAATCGCATCTTGCCAACTTAAGGGCTTTGCGCAATGGCTTTGTGCAAGCTGACCGCGATTCCGGAACTCTAAAACCTAAGAGTTTTCGGGCTCTGCGTGTGTACTTCTATCGCCTGCTGCTTACCCCTTCGATGACATGCTGCACTGCAAATGTCGAGCAGATGTTGAGAAGTCCGTTTTGCCGTGTATAACTGCGGATTTAGCTCTGATCGGGAGTCGTGGGAGTTGTGTGCACAGCAGGATGGCATTAGAAGACTCACTGGCACAAGACCCACCTCAAACAGAAGCATCCGCACGAAGCACTCGCTTTTGCCGGATTTGTTCAAGAGGCATCGCCTCCTGCCAAGATCTTCTCCTCACTTGAGAAACTTTCGTGACAGGCTGCAAGATGAAGGGCCGCATAGTGGGAAATCGATTTGACATCTGGTCAGCATGTTCTACAGTGACATTTTCGGACCGATAGAAACCTCGGAAACCCCGGTGCTGTGCCGTGCAACGAGCGGAGCATTTTCGTCCCACACCTATCCATGTTTGTCCTGCCGTGGCGCGCGAGCGAGTCACAACCCAAGCCTGTGCATAGCTCGATAACATCATCCACACGGACCCCACCTTGGTGTCATCTAACTCTCAAGCAACCCATGCGTGAAAGCCCCCAACTTGTCTGCCGGCACATTCCTGACACCAGCTGCGAACCTGTAGGGAGTTACACCAGCTACCGGTCGCCCCCCAACCCAACCTTGCACGTGGCTTCCCACCATTCCTATTGGTTTCGCGTAACACAATCTATCGATGTGTCCGAAGGCTGCATCTTCATGTGTCGTGCTCTCCTGCTGACTCGCAGTCTCGTGCCACTTCTTCAGGTTTTGGCGAGAAAGGATAGTGTAGCGCGTCTCGCAGTGCCAGGAGAGCCTTCCCTGACCGACGAGGACAGAGAGCTCAACTTCAACGAAAGAGGGTCTCAGCGAAAAATTCCGGCCCTCTCAGTGGTGTATGCGGCCGTTGGGCTAGGAGCATGCACGGTTTGGCAGCCAGTGGGTCTTCCTTGCTCCCTCCACGAAATGCCGCCCTGTGTCACGTGCAAGTGCTGCTGCTCGCCGAGCTTCACCAGTCAGGAAGCTTTGTTATGTTTGATTTGGACCCGCTCCGCGGGCGCTGCATGCATGGGCAAGAGTATGTCACGGCATGCGGCCACGACTCCAACTTGGCCACCAGTTTTGCAACCCGTGGGTTCTGCTTGTGCAGCTCCAGATTGGAAGGATTCATTATGACCTCAGCCGCGAGAGCCCCCTGTAATCCACGGATTCGAGGAAAGAGCCTGGCTGCAACCGCGTGACATCTTGAATGATGGCCATGCCCTCCGGATCTGTGGCGGCATCTGCGATCTCCTGATCGTTGAGCAACTGGAGTGTAACCTGTGGGTCCTTGGTTCTGCTCATGTACCGAGAGCCCGCAACACAAGCTCCAGTCACAGCCCCTGCTCAAGTCGCAGGACCATGGTCGGAATTCCGCCGGTTTCTTCTGCAGCACGAGGTGGCGGCGCTTGGACGCTTGGCGTGGGCGGCGGTTCAGGCGTCAGATTTGCCTGATTCTGATCTTTCGTTGCGTGGTGAAGAACAAAACACCACTATTGATTCAGGTAGCTGGATCAAAGGCCAGAGGGTCCGCCGGAACCTTGGACATCTTGTCCTGAACGAACTCCTGGGCAATTTTGATAGACCGAAGCTGCATTAAAGCCCACACGAGTGAGCCTGCTTGATTGACATACACGCATTCTCCAACCTGTTGAAAAACCTGGACGGCCTAGACTCCAGCCTGGATAGAAGCAAGATTTTCAGTCAATCAATCAAGCGAGCTCCCCGTGTTTATGCGCAAAGCGCTGGGGAAGAGGTATCGTGTCTTGTTGGATCCGTCCAACTTCAAAGCCGAACAACTTCACAGTCCTTGGGGCCCCGACAAGTCCAACAAGAGCTGCTGACTGCGCAGGCGCAGAGGGGCTATCTACAAGAGAGAGCCTCAACGAAACCTCCGGCAATCGGCATTCTTACCCTCTTCGGGTCTAGCATTACGCACACGATGGTCAGTCTGAGCTAGAAACAATCAAGTAACAGAACGGGAATCGGAGCTGTACACTTCCCAAATGTTCTCCACAGCCGGTGGACAGTGAAAACAAGATCAACCCGGGAACCCCAAAAGCATCCACAAAGCAAATCTCGCGCACAGTGACACGAGCTTTTTTGTTCCATAGTTGTATAGCCGCGATAGCGTACTTCAGCGGCCCCGCGACACCCCGTATTCGCGACTCAGCATCGGTGCAAGCCCCCCTCCCCCGCACGCCGCGCCGCACCTCGTATCTCAACCTACCCGGTTTCCTCCTGGAAACTGACAGTATACCGTTCCATTTTTCTCCCCATACTTCTTTATGCCATGGACAGCGTCCTCCTTACTTCGCCTCAGGTGAGAAAGCTAGATACCATACATTTCAAATCTCTCCGACGCATCTTAAAGATTAAACCTTCTTTTTATCACAGAGTCCTTCGTCCCAGAGACGCTCAATGTTCTAAGCAATACTTAGCTTGTCTAGCGTACCAGAACCGTAAGGTTATCTCTCCCTCCCAGCTATGCTTGCAGCAGAGGGTGCAGTTGTTTGGTCATATTCACCGACACCCTGAGTCAATTGAGAATAGATGCACGTACATGACCTCTCACGCTTACCGACACGTACAGTAAGAAAGAGCCCCCAATCGCCCAGGGTGGAACACGGAACATGCTGCGCCCGACTCTCCGTATCGCCCCGCGCAGCGCGCCCCGCATCGCCGCCCCCATCCGGTGGAACCCCCCCGCACTCCGCAACCCGTATCCCGGGCTGCCCGCTGGAACCCCGCGCGCCGCACCCCGTATCGCGAGCCGCCCGGTGGAACCCCTCCGATCACGCCCCACGTCGCACCCCTGCAGACCCGTTGGACGCCGAAGGCTCTAACGCTTTCGCTCCTGCGCCGCAACCCCATATCGTGGCGCACTCGGTTGGAAAATCTGAAAGAGAACCCAACCTCCGAGGGGTTCTGGGAACAACAGACGAACATACATACACACAGACGTGTGCGCACACACACATACAGTTTGGGATGCACACGAATCCCAACAGGCATCCATCCACGCCCCTGCACAAAATACATGCGCTTCTTGCGGCCAACATGCAAGAATGTCTATCATCTCATCACTGGCAATTCCATGTTTCATCTCATACCTCACTGGCTCTGGACGGCAGTGGCGGGCACCAGTGAAACATAGTGAAACTGTGAATACTACTAAAGGTGCTATTACCATTACTATCATTGTTCATAACTAGTATTGTCATTTTTTCAATACTTTCTCAGATGGGGGGCTCCTTGAGCACCACGCTGCTAGTGCGCTCGCCCAGCAGACTTGCCATCCTTTGGTCAGACATGTTATCAGTTGCACCGGTCGCAAACTAAACACTGATAGTGTTCCAGAGGGCCCTTTTTAGCTAGAGTAGGGTTTGGGGTATACTAACATGCATATTCATTGTAGGGATGTCATTATGCGTAGGGCTCTAAGATGTCTTAAGCTCCAAATTTATATGATCCTGGCCTGGTGCCTTCGCTGGAGGGAACTACTTCGTCGCTCTTGCCGTGGCAGATCAACGTCGGCAAACGCTGATTCGAGGGAGCGATACCTGAAGCATTAGGTGCTGGGTCTATCTGGCAAAAGGGTGTGTACTTTCTTCATTATCGGGTGGGACTGCCTACTCGCAGCTTGAACGTGCTCTTCAAAGATGAGGCAGGATATCTCACCGAACGTCATGACCATATAGAGACCATATACCGCTGCCGCCAAGGGACTCACCTCACGCAAGGAAAGGAGACTTGAGAAGAAAGCTGTTGTCGGCGTTCCAGCAAGAACCGGCTGTGATAAGATGCTTGCCGAAACACTTCGGGTGCACCAAAGAAGCCAGACAGAACGATGGCACCGCCGAGGGCTGCATCTGGGAAGCTCAAGGCTGCGCGTAGAGCGCAGCCAGCACCCTGACTGCTTTGGCAATTGCTCTTCAGCAAGACCTAGCCGAGCTTTGAAGCAGGTCACTGGTTCGTGCCTGTGCAAAGCCGCCAATGAGAATTCGATGAGCCGGCACCTTGCGAACTGCTTCGTGCGAAGATACCGGCTCAAGGACAACTGTGCCTTTCAACATGCTTTGAAGGTCGGACCCCGAGGGCAATCTCCCTCCGAACCATCGCATGCAAGTAGGCAGCCACTGGTTGGACAACCTGCAACCAAAAGGAAAGGCATAGCAAGCATCTGTCGTGGCACAAATGGCTTTGTCAGCCTTGTCGTCAATGATCCACTGCCCATTGATAGGCAAAAACCACGACTGGAGTTGTTGACCCTGGAGGTTTTCCTGCAGCGAACTCTTCGTGCCAATGGGCGCCCATGCAAATTGAAGGTGTCACGCAAGCTCAGCTTTGCGTCCTCAGGGGCCTGCGGCAGAATCAAGCGAAGACCTTGTATGTTCAGCAGCGGCTGAAAGGTGTCAGCCAGAAACCTTGAATGCTTCACAGGCATCGCATTACGGGCCGACACCTTCGAACTGTCTAGCTTCATGTGATGTATTGCAGAGTTGAGCTCATGGCTGCGAGTTTTGGTCACCGAAGCCGTGTAGAAGAATGACCTGAATCATACAGTGGTGGTCTTTCACTTGATACCTCTTGGGGGCAGGCACAAGCAGTCGAGACACAGTTTTGTCGGCATCTGTCGGCCCCAATACCTTGGGTGCCGTTGAGAGTGCTGAACTTTCCACTCCCGCTTCCATGTTCTGCAATCCAAGTGCTCGAGGTGATTGCCCCGGCCAGGCCTCGCAAAGCCTTCGGCACACAACCACCGGGTTCTGCACATTCACAATTGCAGGATGTGGCGCGGGGCTGTGGCAAAACATGCTCGACCTGGAGCCGGACTGTTCCTGTTTTTCTGATTCTTGGCACGTGGGAGATTTCAATGATGCAAACGGTCCCTGATGCCGCGGCATGCGTAAAGCAGACCGTACATGGCAGATGGCAGCTATCGACACACAGGTCGTGACTGTCGCAGTTGTTTGAACTACAATTGCAGCCACAGGTTAAGAAACTAGAAGTAGCACATAAGATAAGAAGGTTGGAAGCCGCGATTTCCGAGACCCTTGAATTCTAGACTGCTCTCTTTCTTCTTCGGGTTGTTCCATCACACCATGCCGGCATTCCACCCGTCCTCGCTTTCACTAGCAAAGATCCCGCGACATTTCTAGATCTAGAACCGCAAGAAATGCAAGAAGCTTTCCTAGTCTTTGTCGGCGTCCGTGCTGAAACTTGTCAAGCAACCGCTTCCATGCCTTCTCAACCTCGTTGGCTCCCGGACGACCGGAGGAATCGCCGACTTCGGAGGCGGAGGCTGGTGCCCTTCGGGATGTCAGCAGGAACCCTCTGAGCTAGTTGTCGTTCGGTCGACTCGTGAAGATCTTCTAGAGTCTGAAACTTGCAGATGTCAGACCAAGTTTTGCGTTGCTCCCCAACCCCTCGGCCCAACACTCTTCACAATGAGACCAAGCGGCGAAGCAACCCTCTCTTCCTTGTCTTTTCGTCCCCAGTCCTCCTCCGTTGCCGAAGCACGCTGGATCAGCCTGACTTGAAAGTTGCTTTGAAATGTCTTCGGTCTGGGGCCCGGGGTGCCGGGGCTGACCCGCCCCAGCTCCCGGGGCCCCGCTGAACCAACATTGAGACACCGGACATCTCAATATAGAGCTGCCCAGAAACGAATCCATGTCAAAGCAGTCATCAACGAAAACACCATTGTTTTTCAAGAAGGCTTTTAGCTCACGGGTCTTCATTCCTCGCAGCATGCAAACTGGTCACACAAGAGCAAAAGAGAGAGAGAGAGAGAGAGAGAGAAGGAGAAAGAGAAAGAGAAAGAGAAAGAGAGAGAGAGACAGAGCGAGCGAGCAGTAAGTGGAGAGGGAAGAAAGAAAGTGAGCGACCGCGAATCTGAGGACCGACCTTTGCGACCAAGGTTCCGTACAGATCTACAAGTTCGCGAGGTTCATTTGCTGCACGGTGGCAGACTGCTCCAAGTCGGTGAGTTGCATAGCTAATGCCGACCGCAGGGGCCGGGTCTTTGCTGGACCGGCCTGTGCAAAAACTTCTCAGCTGCAAGCCGGCAATCACGAGGATCGCCATTGCTCGTAATCCTGCAAAGTTAAAGACCAGAACAATGACGCGGTAAACACCATTTCGAAAGAAGGTTCGACAACACGGCAGGACTTCTGGCAACCGCAGAGACAGTTAGAACATATTGTGAATGGAGATAGCAACCTCCGAAAGCAATCGCAAGCAAGGCAAAGCAGGGGCTTTAACGTTTTCACAGCAGGCCATCGATGCTTCCAAAGTGCATGTCCGCAGCTCAAGACCAAGCAAATGTCGGGACTGCACAAGACGTGTGGTTGAAATCGTCAAATCCCAAAAAAGGAGTGTTCGTCTTGAAGCTGCATGCACTCTTTCCGCAACTCTCGCTGGGAACGACGAAGAGAAACTCTCCAACTTTCTTCAACTTAATCCTCCTGTGTCTGTATCACATTGATATGCCCTTCTCGCCAGAACTTCTCGTAAAGCTCATCCCGCATCACCTTGGTGAGGGCATCCGCGAAGTTGCGCCACGTCGGGACCCAATGAAGGTCTAAGGCATTTTCTTGCACAAGCTGACGCGTGTCGAGGATGTCTAAAGACGCTTGCCGCTTTGTAGCCAGGAGATTGGGTCCCTTGATATGATCATAGAGATCGGTCACAATGTGGTCCTGAGTGTTGAGCTCTCGACGCCAGTTTTGAATCCCTTCCAAACTGCCGCCCTTTAGCACGTCATTGCCCCTTCTCGAAGCCGCTGGCTTATCGAAGAGGGTAGGTCATCAAGAGGCTTGTATCCCGCAACACGAAGCTCTACAACGGAAGATGCCATCCCATGCAGGACTATCTAGCGAGGGAGGATCACTATCCTTGGGGAGGAGGAGGAGGTTCACAGGAAGGAGGAGCATCACCACTTGCTTGGGTTTCTCGAGGCCGCCGTGGTAGAACGCGTCTTCGCCGGCATGGGTCCAATGGGCCCTTCAAAACCTTCTTCACGGATTTCAAGCCAGCCATCATTCGACGGGCCTCATTAAGACGACACCCACTGCCATTGAGGCGCCGCTTTGCAGCCAAGCCAGGCCCTTCCACAGAGACACGTGCTTCGAACTCTAACGGCCGGGGCCCGTCGGTCCAGCTCAGCAGCCTCATTACGGAGATCCTGTCGGTTTGCATCCTCCACGGTTGCCCCTTCTAACTTTGCATCTGACACAAAAAGACACCGGCCGCGCGATCCGACCCTTCCGGCATGAGCACAACGGCTGGTCCTGTCCAGCTTCTCTGGTCCTTTCGAGACCTCCTGCTCTTGAGACCGGCGGGAGAAACAAAAATAAACCAGTTCGCCGGAACAAACTCGCGGCGCGCACCAGCTGGAGCACATCGAAGTTCTGCAGCCCGGGCCGACATGGGCTGGTATTGCCGGACCAAGGAAAGTGGGAGCCAACCAACCCTGAGTGGATGGCGTGGGTCTCCAGGAATTGAATGAAATCCGATTCCCGTTTTCCTCCTTGATCCAGACGGATCTTCTGTGGAGGCCCGAAAACCCCAACCCACATCGCCATAACTTCGCTGCCACCTCAAGAGCTTTGCCCGATGATAGTTAATGGGTGCATGCAGTGCCGTATTGAAAACGACTGCTCGAACTTCAGGCCTGGATGGAGAAGGACGGTGGGGCGCCTTGGACATATGACAACTTCATATGACACGAAGGGCAAACCAGCTCGGAAGCCAACTTCAGGACCTCGTCCTTTGCGCCCCCATGCTATAGCATCCTGACCAAAGCCTCATGGGAAGGGTGACCAAGGCGACGGTGTAGCATGTGAACGCGCTCCAGAAATGGACTCTGGCCTGTGTCATGCATATCTATGGCCTCCTCCTCTTCGTGGTTTTCGGTGCCGGGGTTGTTGTGATTCTGGTCCTCCTCTAGGATATCTGGAACACCATCACTGCCAAAGTCGAAGCTCTCCTCCCCTTCGTGGTTTTCAGTGTCGTGGTTGTTGTGCTTCTGTTTCTTCGTGTCCCTTGGAACTTGCACCCCGTCGGGAGCACGAGCCAGCCCCTGGTCCGCAAAGTCACATATAAGTTTTCTCCACCATGGCGAGCACGAGGCCGCTGCATCAAGGACGCCTCCGCACCCGCCACAAGGGTGAAGACAAAATCCCCAGGAAAGCCACCACAGAATTACCCTAAGATGCGCCACTGTCCAGATACACAGACACCACCCAGAGCAGCATGTCGGTGACCGCCGCACTGGCCGCACGCCCTCTTCACAATCTCGCTGGTTCCCACAAGCTTCGTCGGTCGCCGAAGGTGAGGCCCGCGAGTCTTTTGCCACGTCCAGCAGACATGCCAGCCCAGGTGTCAATGACGACAGGTTCCTTCCACGCTTCTGACTTCAGCGGGTTCTCCCCAAGAACCGCGACGCCAGGCAACGTAGTTGAAGCCGAAGCTGGCCCACGTCCTCCCGCAGTGCTGCTTCGACATTGGCACCGGAAGGGGGTCGCTGCCGTACTGCGAAGGCCAGGTGATCATCACAAAGTCCGGGTCAAATGCCTCCAAGAAGTACTGGGCACGCTTCCGAGCGGTCAAGTCCAGGCAAAGTGATTGGCTCGCCCACACGTCCCACCCCCGAGAGCACGATGCCAGACCGCCATCAACATGGAAGCCAAACAACGCCAGGCTCCTTGCCGCAAACCCCATCGGTGAGGCTCCGATGATTCTCCGCGGGCGCTCCCACCCACGAGGTCCATGCGGCCGTAGACCACAGGCTAGACGAGCTCCCTCCACAAAATTCCTCTTGCACGCAAGGCCGCCTGAAACGCATGGTGCCACCGCCGCTCGGCAACCACTGTCAAGGATGACTTGCCCGCGGTGGGAGGTAGAGCAGGCTGGACCACATCACCAGCAGCATCCACACCGGCAGCCAAGACACCATGTCTGGCTGAGTAGTAGAGAACATCCTTCAAATCCCAGTCCTTGCACCGGGCAAAATTCACATGCTGATTGGCTCAGCCTTGGTCGAAAGATACACCAGCATGCTCAGCTCACCTGGGTCCAACTTGTAAAGCTTCTCTTGGGCCTCGATCGCTCTTCTCCACTTCAAGTAGCGCCGCCTGCCACCAGAGAACTCCTCATTCCGAGCTGAACCATGCTGAACCGATGCTGCTCTTCGGCCTCTCTTGCTCGCGTGCCCTCCTCCTCTACACGGACCTTATCTCCGAAGTACCCGCCGAGGACGATCCCATAGGGGTGCCAGGTGGCACTGCAGTCGGCCGGCCGGAAGATCACCGCCATGAGGACCATCTCGAGGATCCTGGCCGGGAGGACCACCGCCAGGAAGACCAGCACCAGCCGCCGGGAAGATTGGCATCGCCACGAACAGGTTCGGAGGCACGACCACGACTAAGTGCGCCCGAAGCAGGGCCTGATTCATCTTGAGCTCCTTCTGCACCAGTCCCGGCCGTCCGGAGGTGCCATGCCCGCACAGCAAAGGAAAACCTAGCTCCACTACCAATATGAATCGAGATAGCAACCTCTAAAAGCAACCGCAAGCAAGCCAAAGCAGGGGCTCTAACGTTTTCACTGCACGACATCGATGCTTCGAAAGTGCATGTCCGCAGCTCAAGACCAAAGCACACGCCGGAATGCCACAAGACACGTGGCCGAAATGACTGTGGCTGCGCGCAGTGCGTTTGGTGCCCCTCCGCCCCTCCCCTGTCCGACTAAACTCCTAAGCTAAAGACCCCAGCTTTTCCGCAGGGGGGAGGGCCAAACCACCCAACCATTCCACATGGAAGCTTAAGACCCAAGCCGTTCCACAGGAGGGGAGGGGAAATGACCAAAATGGAGGGATACCATGGGGGGGGGGGGAGGGAAGAGGGAACCGCCGGGGCGCAACCGCTTATGCCATCCGAAAGAGCCGAACACAGGACACACATCGGAAGTTGTGAGCGCAATGCTTGCTGATAGTTTCTCGCGAACACCTGCCACACACCAGGAATGGCATACGTGGAAACGTGACGGGATGATGAGACGACGTGGACGAGACGTGGACGAGACGTGGACGAGACATGACGAGACTGGCGTCCTCCTAGCCGCTCCTCTGAAGCCTCAGGTGAGAAGTGGACGGTGCGTTCGGACGGGTGGTCTGGCAAGCTGACGCACTCCGTCTGAAGGAACGGAAGTCGGAAAACCCAAACCATCGGATGATCATCTGACGTGTGCGAGCTCTTCTGTCACTGACTGGATCTGACTGGCTGCCGTTGTCCTGCGCGCCAGCTTCGCTTCGTCGATTGTGTTGCCATACTTCTGGAGCTATGCCCAACAGATTCCATGAATCTCCGGGTAGGGGGCATTGATCACTCGTCCCATTATGCAAGACACATGGCTGCAGACCTTTGCGCAGCACAATCTGGAAATTGCTTGGTGAATTTCTGTGCTCGGGGAGTTCGGCATCCTCTCACTCCTAGACTTGCTCAAGTAGGGTGGACCTGTGTGACGTCGGTGATATTATCGTGTCCTGTCCTTGCAGCTGCAAGTGAAGATCAGGTGTAGTTCCTGTAATCGCAACGGTGGCATGCGCGCTGATGCTGTACCAAAAACATGGAACATCGGAACATGACGGGTGTCGAAAGTATTCGCACTCGTACTCCGAGGATGCAGCGATCATGCAAAGCGGATCTGGAGCGAACTCTCTGCTAAGTCTGCTTTTTTGCTTGCTGGTGTTCGGGTGCTTGTCGAGAGAGTGAAACCACCGAGGCGAGTTCCGTCTTGAAGCCCGTCTACGATAGCAGAACTGACTTGGTGCGCACCTCTGCGATCTTCAGACCCAGGTGTGTAGTGTCAGAGTGTGCAAGCTGCATTCTTCAAACAGGGCAACTACAGAGCTGCGATTTCATTTGCATGTATCATGTTGGCCCCAGTAGAGCACACAGGCATCTTAGACGCTGTGCAGAATGCAGACCATTGGACTGCTGTTGGCCGCTGCTGTTCCAGCGATTCGGCGCAAAGCACTGGAGCAAAAAACACAATCTCTCGCTGGCCGGGCCTTCAAAAGGGCTCCATCGCAGTCTGATTCGTGTAACATGACGCCGGCAAGCGATGTTCGTGCGAACTTGCGCCTTTGCGGGTCAGACATTTGTCTGCCTCCGAGCATCATGGTAGGCTTGGCATCAAGAAGCTTTCTCTCGCTCCTCCGGGGATTCAATCGCTCCCGCCGCTCACTTCGAAGCTTTCACGAAAAGGGTACATGTGCTGAAGCTAGGACCCAGGCTCAGTCCGCATGGACTTCAATGCAAACTATTCTGCCGTCCCCTGGGAACCTAGGTCTTTTTCCCAACTCGGGACGGGTGGTTGCGACCAAAACACGCAGACTTGGCCATTCGCAGGCAAGGAGCCGACAAAGAAAGTCGTTGTTCTGAATTGGGCAGAGAAGCAGACTGCTCTGTCGGATGTGCGCCTCAAGCTTCTCACCGCCAGAAGCTCAGACTACCAAGAAGGGGTCAATAATCTCATGTCTGTATATCCAAGGCACCCAGAAGTGCGTCGATCCTTCGGTATGCAACTTCACCGCACTGTGGTTGATGTTTGCTGGAATGTACCATCGCTCTCGCATCAATGCTGTACATATTTCTAGAGCAGATTTCGGCGTGCTTGTTGTCGAAGTCAGGGGGAACTGGTCTAGCAAGCAACTTGGAACCTGAGACTCTGGAATAGCCAAGCATCTTGTCTTCCAGCACTGCCAGCCTTTCAAGTGAAGGAGCATGTTTTGTTTCAAGAAGGAATGCAACATTCTCGTGTAGAACCCCAAGAAAGCACAGGTGAACGCAATGTTAAGCTTTGGGAAACTACCATATGCGCTGTTTTACTGGCGGCGGAATCGCCGGCTGCTTCCGTCAGGCTTGCTACCTGTTTCGATCCTTGCTTGGATGTGCACAAGACATGTCATGAGCTTCAGGCACTCACGAGCAAGAGGTGAACACTTCGAGACTTCATCGCGGGCTTCTGTCGGCATGATATTGCAACCCGTGATCCCGCCAAGTCTGGCCCGACCGCATCCGTAATCACAAACACCTTCAACATGATCTTTAAGAAAAGGCCACCGAAGAAGTAATGTCAACTTCAAGCGCTCTGACCAAGATACGATTTCCGAAAGGCAGGTCACGGGAGCTCATGCACCGTGCAATGGTAAGAACTATGGTCCGCTGTGAGAGTGGGCGGTGGTGCTTTGCCATTTGTCACAGACTCTTGGAGCACCCTGGGGTGAAGCTTCCCTTCTATCCAGCAACATAACGCCGTGCTCCCAATCCCGCCCATAGCCGTGGTGTGGGCGTGCCGAGCGTAATCTTGTCTCCCAGACTTGCTTACTCGAAGGCAGGTACTACATCTGTGCCTTAGCTAGTCGTTGTGCTGGGCTAGACAGAGCAATCGGAAACACAATGTCTGCAAAGAGCCAGCACTCCAGCACGGCACTCAGAACCGTTTTGGACGGAGTTGTGCCTCTGTACGATCCCTACTGCATCACCATCCACCGAAGTTCCTTGCTTCCTTCTCCTGGTCAGCATTCGAAGCTGCAACCGACAATAGCATTGTGCTAGGAAAGGTCACAAAAGTGCTGGCATAACTTCTGTGAATCAGTGAAGTTTCCCGACAGCTTGACGGCTACTTCGCATAGCCAACTTGCTTTCCCTGTGTCCTGGCGTGGGGTGCCCTAGATCGCGTCGAAGTAGATGGCCGCAGCCTGCAATTGCATGGTCTTGACGACCAACTGGCAAGGTGCTTTTCTCCAGCTGGCCTCGATGCCGACGAGTCTTTTCGCTCGATGACATCAATTGCCGGCACTTTAAAGGATTTGAAAGATTTCGAGGACTTCCCAGATTTGATCGATGCTGATGGTTGGGCTCCACCATCGGATTCGGATCCAGTCTCCTCGGGCCAGTGCCCGTACACCTGCGCCAAAGATCGAAACCGTCTCATCTGCGCACACAGCTCTGTATGTTAAAGATGCTTCCAAGACACAACGAACACAAACTGCTCGAAACTGACCTTCGAAGCCAGGCCAGCTCTCACCCAAGAACAAGGGCAGACCCCGCAGGACTTCTGAAGCTGAACATGTCAGGAAAGGGGTGCAGTGTCAGAAAACGCGCTTGCTCGACACTCCATCCAACTAGCGAATGCCACGAGAGCAGCACTTTCACTTTGTGTCAAAACTGCAACTTGGCAGCAGAACCGCACTGGTCTTCGTCGAGCAAAGCCCAAAGCAGCTTTTGATCCAGTTGACTGACCTCGTTCACGAGACTACACAGGACGAAACTAGCACATAGCACTGGTAGAAAATCATTGCGGCGCAGCTTTGGATGCAAGATCTGCCGGCGCTTGTCTCAAATTGAAGTCCTCCCGCCTGAATTCGAGATAGCAGCAGTTGATATCGCGTCCAAGTGATCAGGCCTGCGCCGAATTGCTTGCAAAATTGCTCGGTCTATTTGCCACAATGGAACTTGCCGAGACCGGGGAGCAAGCAGAGCTGCAACATGTGTTACTCGCCAGTGCAACACTGAACTGAACTTACATGCGGTCACGACTTGATGAAAGAGCTACGTATTGTCACAAGGCTCTTGCACAAGGCTTGGCCGGGCACCTGCCGGCGCGAGACCATCGTCACCACTGCAAGTGAAGTCCTCGGTATGGTGGACATATTGGTGCCCAACACACGGACTCGTTGTTGGCTCGCCGCATGCCAAGCGTCATAAAGGTCGTTTCGCAAGACATCGTCTGGATCAAACTCTCTGTCCAATCTCTGTTTGATGTCAGCCCATGACAGTGTAGCTTTCAACTTCAGCCTGAGCCAAGGAGCTCGCACGCAAACATCAAGCCTAACTGACTACCGATTGTTTCCTTCCTTAGGGGTTGCTAGTTCTTGGCCCCGAAGCGTCTAACAATGGGCAAAGCCATGGATTATCACGGAGCCCTGCTCTCACGAATGCTTGCAGCGACTTAAAATGTGCCGCTGTGCAGTACCGGTGCGGTTGGCAGCGGTCGGCTTTGCAATGCCACTCAGCACTAAAGGTCTCAACGACAATGTATGAACCATTCTGGGGCTAGGTGGTCGCCAATAGACTCAATAGACTAGCACAGCCCGATCGCTTGTGAGCCTGCAACTATAACTATGGGCCATGAGCAGCCGACTTGACGAGTGCATCGCAACTTCCAATCGGACAAGGCACATGTCCTGAAAGTTTTTGATAAGGGTGCAAATAGACGTCGGATCTTGAGCCATCAGGTGATCTATCGCACTCCTTAGAGCAACGGAAACTCTCCGATGCCACGGAAGAACTGCCACCCGCACAGCAGGCTGCAAGGCGCTGTGCTCAAAAGCCCTGGAAAACCGCCTTGAAAGTCACTCTTTGCGGCACCAAGAAACTTTGGAGAGAGCGGGCCAGGCCTCCCTCTTTCCCACCCTCCCTCATTGCAAATCAAGGCACGCTTGCAGGACAGATGTCAAGCAGTATGCACGGGCCATGATCCAAGCAGTGCGGAGTTGACCTTGCTAAGATTGCCAGCTGCGCTGGCACGCTGAACTGGCTGTGGGTTCGTTGTCTGGGCACATGCTGACAAGCACAGCAATCACAAGGAACGAGGCCTGTGAGCAACGCGATCTCACCGAAGTGGCTTCCTGTGGCAAAAACTTCAGATTCTTTGCTCCCCTGATCGTTTCAAAGTTAGCTGTGTCCATGACGCCAAAGAAAGTTGAGTTATCTGCATGACAATTGGTTGGGCCCGATGGGCCGCCGGCTCTTTTCCGGCGGACAAGTAGACGTGCCAGTCTCTTTGATATGACTGGATTGGCTTCTTCTGCCGGAGATTCTGGAAGAATACAGATGCCTGGTAGTTTGATGTTCCTATGGTCTTCTCCTAAAGACCCCAAGCGCCTTGTGAAACAGAACGGCGGAGGCACAGCAGCAGTCAGCTAGAAAATCATTTCATACATCATACATGGTACTTACATAAGTCACATTTCATTTCACAAATACACATATGAATATATAAATATATACATGTCTGTCTCACATATCGTGTCTAGTAGACTATACTTTTTCATTATGTATCACATATAATGTGTTTATAGAACATATATATACATATATATATATATATATGTGTGTGTGTGTGTCCGATACCTCAAGGGCCTATTTACCTGGCATTTTATTTTATCCCTACTATAATTAAAGTTTAACACTACATCCAGATTTCTATATGTACGATATAAGTATCTTGCGAAGTTTGTGAAGTGCTTGTAGGTCAGTGCTATTTAGAAATAAAACCACATACAGCATCGTCTATCATACAATAACAACATGCTTCGGAGGTGCATATGATGCTTATTGCGTGTTGTCTAGCGTCGCTTGTTGTATTTGTTGTTTACAAGACTTGTACTTGAAGCTGTATATATTCCATGGTTCTGTGTCTGTTGGCTTTTGTCGTTCTTTTGAATTGGTCTTTGCCGTTCCTTTGGTGTGAGTACACGTCCAATCTTCCAGCTGCAAGATCGACTCCAAAACCCCAGCCCGTTTACAAGCACTGTGACCGACAACAGCAGCAAGCGACAACGGTAGCAACAAGATCAACAATAGCAGGAACAACAACAAAACCCACAAGCAATACAATCAGCAGCAGTCGTCATCACAATGTTCGTGATCATACTGAATAAAATCATACGAGCAAAAAGTCACAATTGAAGTCACATACAGATGAGAATATTAGTGAGCAATATGAACAACCGTAGACATGAACAAGCAGTGACCGTTAGTAGCACAACAAGGCATGAGTGTCCAGTTATTTTCCTTGGTGCGTGTACGTTTCCAGCCTTTTCAGCCGGACATGCAACTCGAAATCCCCAGGCCCTTTGTAAGCCCGGGGTCACCAACACCAAGACCAACAACAACAACAAGGTTGAACCATACACTGGGTCCCCGTTCAACCAACAACAATAGCAACAACCGCATAAACAAAAGATGAATATGGCAAAGACGAGTACGAGACGAGAAGGTTCGAAGATGGACCGATTAATTTTGTTTTTTTTGCAGGGTGGGGGAGTAGGTCATAGAGGTCCAAAGAAGCGGATGGGTGCAATCTATCGCAGCCCGTGTCGTCCTTATCCGTTCTTGTATTCTACGTCGCCGCGTCAGTCGGACTTTGCCTTTCTTCGGCAACAGCAACCACACAAAAACAGCGACGACGACAATAACAACAACAGCCCAACAACAACAAGAACAAAAAGAACGATCACCCTCACCTTATCATATGATGGAGGTAATGAAGATATCGATGATGACAATGAAACGAAACAATCTGAATATTGGAGTGTCTGGCGACGGTCCTTTTCCTTCCAATCCGCGATCGCAAGCAGTGTCCCCCTCCTCTCTTTTGGTGTTCATGCTTTTGAAACTTTCACTCGCAAGAAGTACCCGTTATCTGTTCTTGTAGTCTATGTTTCAGTGTCGGTCGGACTGTGCCTTTCATCAGCAACAGCAACAACACAACATCAACAACGACAATGACAACAATAACAAAAATAATCACAGAGTCATATAATGGAGGTCAAGAGATGTTGGCGATGAAGATGACACGAGAAGGCTTGAAGATGGAGAGGTCGGCTGCTCTTTGGAGGATGGGGAGGTAGAACATAATGACTGAATGAAAGGGAAAGGGTACGATGACAAGCCGTTATGCGGCAACATTGAGCAGCGCTGGAAGTGAGTGCTCGCCAGCTGACACGGTAGAAGCATGGCACACGAGGTAAAGTAAGCTGGTGCAATGCGTGGCCTTTCTCAACACGCTTGATCTCCTCGTCGTCCCAGTGGGGTGCCCGTACACCTCGATACTGAGCTTAGCTTTGGCTCCTAGGTGCCAACAGCCCCTTGCGACTGATTATCAGTTGTTCAAAAGCTTCGTCAAGGTAAGTGCCGAAGCTTGTCTGCACCCGCACCCGGCGAGACCGACACATCCAGCCAGGAAGCAGGTAAAGACACCCGCACAGCCATCCCGCAAGAAGAACATCTCGCTTCCGATCTCTCCACGGCAAATGATAAAGTCAGCTGGCAGGAAGACCTGATCCTTAGTTTTCGGCAGTCTCAGGATCTGTAATAATGGACAGACCGGATGCCTAGCATCTGCCGCCCGGTGTCTTGGAGGCGACTGATCAGAAATCTCAGCGCCCTTGCATCGACCATCTGCAGGAAGGGGACTTGGATGACGAGACCTTGCTGAGGTGTTTCACTTTTCAGAGAGTTACAGCCTTGTCACAGAGAAGCAGCTCACACAGCAATAGCATGCAATAGCACTTCTTGCAGTGAAAAGGCGAGAATACAATACCTCAGGTGTCGGAGGCCCGGAATGCACAACAACGAGAATTCTCTTTCAAGCCTTCCAGCTTCTGTCAAGATCTTGTCAAGAAGCCAGCTTCACCTCCTCCTGCAACTGAGATGTCAGATCTTCAAAGCAATTCTTCGCGCGACGTTCTTTTTGAACGTCCCAGACCTCAAGGTCAAACGTGGAACGTATGCAGCGTCTAAGCGAGGCTCTGTGGTTCCGGGCTTCTCTGTGATAAAAGTGTAGTATATATTATACAACATACAGTGTAATGTACAAAAACCGCAAAGAGTGTATAGCATACGTTTGGGATGTTGTACAGGTTAGAATTTAATTTACTAGTAAGCAGTACATGGTATGGTGTATAGTATGTAGTCTGGTCGAGTCTAGTAGAATACAAAATCAATCAACGGGAGCTCTCCAGCTTTCGAATTTAAGGCTTAAGGGGTCTCTTTTCACTGTCGGGAAAGGCAGGGACAGGCAACCTTGTTCAGGTCGTGCGTTTTGGTACAGAGGCTCAGGACGAAGACCGCGCCTGCAGAAGTTAGCGCATGTCTCGCCTGTCTCGCCTAGGCCTAGACTTCTAGTCATTCTAGTCTAGAGATCTGCATACGTGCAAAGCTGCTTCACTTCTACTAAATCTACTGCAAACTGCAATCGCCTCACCTTTGCAGAAACTCTCCAGCAACACCGGTATAACCGCCCATAAATCGCCACCCAGCAGCGTATGTCTGGCAAGCTTGCACGCGCCTTTGCTTAGAGCCATGCTTCACACACTGTCAAAAGATTCCACACACGTTGCTAGAATATGCATTTCGAAACGTGATGACTCGGAGGGGATAACTCCAAGCATAATTCCAAGCAGGTGTCTGGATCAGCTGTTTCGGGATATTCATGCTTTCCAGTGCCGATCGAGTCTGCGTCATTCTTTGGTGACGCAGCAGCGTCCATTGGTTATACATGGACGTCAGGAACGTCAGATCAGCAAAAACCTCGAAGTGCAATTGACAATAAAACTTCGCCCGAATGCACGTGCACACAAGCCACAGTCGGGCCTTTGCAAAATAGAGCTGGCTCAGAATCATGACCACAGATGCAAATAGCCTGAGCCCCATGCATTTTACGAGAATGCTTCTCATATGCAGCTTTCTAGGCTTGACAAGGTAGTATGCCAGAAGACCGCTCATCTGCATTTTGTGGTGTGATATCTCCATATCCAATGGAAGTCGCTGTGGTCGTTGTATAGTACCAGGCAACCCTGCAACGAGTCTCCCAATGCAGTGCAGTAAGGCGTGCTGTGTCTCACAACTGCTGCAGCTGGGATGCATGTAGAACCTTCTACAGCCACTGGTGCCTCTGACAGGGCTGGGTCAGCAATATGGGTGCCGCCGTGTGCACAGGCCACTACAGACCCAAACAGAGTGCCTCCGCTGCCCCGTAAGCTGTCGAATGCCCAAGCATCTTCACGCCCGCTTTGCACGTGCATGATCGATATGACGCTCAAAAAGCTCGAAAAGAGGTGAATCATCACCTGGATTGTGTCGAAAAGGAAACACATCGCGTACTCGCTCGTTCGCTGAAGAAGTGGGATGCTTGTGGCCCTGTGGAAGTGGCTCCGCCACAGTAAAGTAAGAGCGCAGCAAAAAGCCACATCCCCAGCTCGATGCCATCCTTTGCTTTCAAAATGGACAAAGGTCCTGTGGAAATGAAGAATGGAGCTATGGGCTAAGTAAAGAGACTGACGCAGGATCCGAGACTGTGCCAAGCATCCCTCCAGAAGCTGGACACCACTGGCACGGAGGGTGGCACAAGCAATCGATACCCTTTGGCAAGGATTAAGATCCATGCCTCAGCAAGAACAATTAGGGCACAGCAGTGGGCGGTACGGCGGGCTGCAAGCGAGATGCCCAATGAATCCATCCCTCTATCCTGAAGCAAGCTGTCTCAGGTAGTGATGTCAGTGGCTTGCGTCCGTTCCTCGCGTGTGCCAACCCCCTTCGTCCTTGTTGGCTCTGACGTGAGCTGTGTCACCTCCACGAAGAGTCCAACAAACCTCGTGTAGGAGACTTTCCGCACTGCATGGAAAGCTCCGATCGTCCGTCCCTTTGCTCTGCGAGCTGTCAGTTGGCCGGCTGGCTGGCGCTAACCGGTAACTATGCCCGGCTGCTGAAAGATCTTTTTGATTGGACCCAGACTCTGCCAATCAGCTGGGAAGCAGCTGCGAAAGATCTTAAATCCTATTTTGACATCTGCTGTATTCAGTGGCACCGTTGTGAATAGGCTCCAAATTCCAAGCCACTCCTGTCTTCATATCCCAAATCCCCCTCCATGTTTCTTCCAAGGAGCACGAGGAAGTCAAAAACTGGGATCCAAAAGCGAAACGACCATACATTACCCTCCGTCTCTGGGTTCTTGCTGTCCTGCACCGGCCCTCCTCGGGCGTGCAGTTGCCTGGGACATCTGCAGTCAAACATGCCGAAAACAAGGATACCAGCTCCATACACACACGCACACACACACACGCACTACACATGCATACATACTTACATACTTACATCCATCCATCCATCCATCCATGCATGCGTGCATGCGTGCATGCGTGCATGCGTGCATGCGTGCGTGCATGCAGCATACATACAAACATGCATAAATACACATTTTTTGGCACACATAAGTACACGTACATACATACAGACATACATACATACATACATACATACATACACATACATATACACGTGCGTAAATCTACATAAACACACACAAATATATATATATATATACACATGATGACGCCGGATGTATATATATATATATACACATACAGTCTGCCCAGCTGCTGGACCAGTGCCGGATGCAGGCTAGCGCCAGCGGCGTGCTGCTTCAGCAGTTTGAACCTGTAGGAGGTATAGGCTATCGGCTTCCAACAAATTATCCTGCAAAGTGTTTCGGAACATTCCAGAGCCGACTCGACCGCTGGCTACTCCTTCCTGGACCAAGAGCCCCAACACAACCTTTGCACACACAAAACGAGAGCTTAGAAACATCAGTCTCGATCTTGGCCGTTAGCAATTAGTAGCACATGCTTCTGCACTAGTCCTCAATATGCTGCCGTCGAGACTGTCATATACAAAGCTGGAACAACGACCTTGCTGTCTGTCGGTTGGTTTTTGCACCGCCATCACCGGCCTACTCGAGTGCCTGACTGCTGGGTGTGCCATCTGGCTCTCGTCTATGCTTCATTCCGAAGTGTGCGTGTCTGTGCACGTGCAGGCTGTGCCCTCGTGACTGCAAAACCCTGACGACGCCGTCACAATCAACAAAGCCGCGCCGGGTTGAAACAGTAACCTAGAGGTCGTGGCCTGGCTGTTCTCTGCTTCCACATCTCCGGCCACGGATTCTGTGGCGAGTAGATGAAGTGCAAGACAGCAAACACCAAGTAGGCCAGAGTTGAGACCTCAGTGGCGTGGACAACTCAACCGTCTCGTAGAGGCTTTTTGGCTGCGTGTTGTAACCATGTCTTGTATAAGCCAGGGATCTAAGTGAAGCAGTTTGCCCCAGAACATCAGCGGTCGCTCAGCTTCGGAGCATTCCGACTCGAAGGACAGCGCAAAGCCACCAACCAGTAAACCTTGCCGTGCACACTTCGTGGGAAAGGTGCACGTTGTGTAAGCCCAGCTGGGATCAGCTGGGTACAGCACTAAGCACCGGTGTTTCAATCGTGCGTGAGAATGGAACCCTGGTCAAAAAGACTCTCCAAGGCACTAAAGAAGCACAGCGGATGTACTCGAGACTCGGTTCTCACCAGCGCGCGTCCGCATCTGGCCTTTGTTGATCAATGGGTGGGGCAGGAGAATGCTGCGAAACACCATGGAAAAGCCAAGCATCGAGTCGTCTCCTGCAGCGATACGTCCTTGGATAGGCCATGAAGCAAGCTTGGCAACACATTGGCCTTCTAGCTGCCGCTGCAAGCTTCGAAACCCTGTATTGCATGCTTTGTACCGGACGTGTTCACTGTGGCAACCTCACGTAATACACACCTCAAGATTGTTTTCCCGGTTTTCCAAGCTTCGAAAAGAATGAGTCGGAACTCACTGATGTAGTTGTCAGCTTTGTTCCTTGGCGATCCAGCAGCTTCGGGACCTTAGAATACATGAAGTTCAGGCAGCATCGAGCTGTGCAAATGCCACATGGGACCAAAGGATCAGTGTCTGACCTCATCCGCTGGCACAGCAGCTCGTATGTCAAATAGCGACGCGAACACTGAATACCTGCATTTCGTGATGTTGGATCTCTCTCGAGCAGGTCGAGCCAACCAAACTAGCAAGTCAACTCAAAAAAAAATCCTCCATCTGCGCTATGCTGCCTGTGGAATTGAGGCTTCCCTGCGAAGGCGGACTTTCGCGAAATCACAGTTGCCAGATTGTCTTCGACCTCAACCAAAAAAGTTAAGTCTGATACCACAAGACATCTTGTAAGCCTTCAAAAATCGAAAAAGCAGCCAAACCAGGAAGACTGTGCGCAACTTCTTGCTGCTTTGCTGCTCCTCTGCTCCTTGTTCGAACAGTTTGCGCGCCTGGGGAGCTCAGAACTCCACACAAAATTTTGGAACCGGACGCAAGGCACTCTTAGCAGAACTTCCGCCCCCCTCCTGGACTGCGAGGAGACCGAGGAGTGGAGCTCTTTGGCGACTTCTGGGCCTCCAGTTCCTCCGATGCTTGAGGGGGTTCCTGCGGTTCATCTGAATCTGGACTGGGGACCTGAGTTGCAGAAAGCTGAGTCTCGTGAAGTTAAGAAGCACGTCTGACTTGTGTTCTGAACGAATGTGACAGCTCGGCCGTATCATAAGCCCCCTGCAATCTGCACACTCAACCGCTTGCCTCAGATTATGCTGACAAACCATGGTCAATCAGGGACAGTCAGGCCATGCTGCACCGGACCGACAGCACTCAGCAAAGCGGCGGCCGCTCATGGACTCATTCGACGTCTTAACATTGGCATTCGCGAGCCCAGGCACCTAAAACCACCACTGCCTTTGCTGGTGGCTGAGTTGGGCCATCGCGCTGCAGGTATGTAAGCAGTTCTCGCAAAACTTTTGCAACGGTAGAGACTTGGCTAATTACATGTTCTGTCATGTGTGCCGGATGCCGGATGCGCTTTTTGAAATCTCCTGCGCTCTTTTGTGGCTCAGTTCCGGCCATTGCCTCGCCGGCCTGCAGCACACGGTGCTGTGCCCCTGCTCAGGCATGACAGGTGTCTGCCCAGCTCTGCGTCGCCTTTGCCATTGGAAGCAGACGCTCGCCCTCAGTCTGCAGTCACGATCCTTTTCATATCCTGTGGTCGAAGTGCTGAGGTTCGGACTTGGTTCCGACGCTTGCCCCTTCTGCGTTTGACGTGGTAGCGCGGCAGCAGCCCATGGATCCAAACCTGCACATGGCATATTGTTTAGGTTACAGATGTTTATGGCCTATCTGGATCTGTTTTCGGTGATCTGCAAGGTGCCTGACACCCAGGGATCCTCTTCCTGCTGGTGACAGGGTACAGCCTTCCTGAGTCAAGTCGGAGCAGTAGGACTATGTGGAACCGTGGCAAGCGGAGTTGTGTCTCTGTCAGCTAGGATATGCTAGGATGCTGGGAATGAGACTTGGCTGGCCTTCCTTCGTCACAAGGCTTGGTCTCGGCAACGGCCGACCGCACCTCTGCTCAAACCGGCCGGATGTTGATGCGGACTCATGGGACCACCGCGCACTGCCTGTCTGGATATCCGACGTGTTGCGCAAAAGTCCATGCTGAAAAATCTGTGCCGGGGCACCCCGCTATGGAAACTTGCGCCATGCCATGATTCCCCCGAGACTGCCCGGCAAGAGAACTACGCTGAAGATGGGGACGACTGCACGGCATACGTAGCCTTGCCACACAGTCGAGATGAGTCGAGGTCAGCACCAGAATCCGGACTTGCGGTTGCGCCACAGCTGATTGGCCTTGCGATTCACAAGGTCCACGTGCGCATTTCAGCCGCTCAGGATTTGTGATTAGAGCACTTCGGTGGATGCCGGCCGAGGCCTGCGACCTCTTCAGCCAGATCCTGGCTCGAAGTGCGGCTTTGTGCAAAAGAAGCATCTCTCAGACTGCAAAGTTCAAAGATGTCTGGGATGCGCGATGGTGGCCACACCTTCGACCTGCAGCCCGAAACCAGATACGGCCTTGAGACCGCACTGCGTCTATCCCACAGGCAGCGATCTGTTTTTGCTCGCAAGATCATGTCAGAATGTGGGTCAGCTGAAACTCTGTCCTCAAGAGCAGCAAACCTTTACACGGCGCTCATGGCTTACCTGCCCGACTGTCGGCTGATTCCGCCCTCGTCCTTTACGGACGCTGCCATCGCAGGCTCGATCCGAAGAAAGACGCCAGGAGCACAAGGCCTGAGAATACCAAGAGCAGTCTTGGCAGATTCTGCTTCGGCGGTTCACGCTCTTGTGCTTGCACTTGTTGGCATCGGGCTTCTGCCTGCAGCGCAGATTGACAACATCAGAGACGAGAACCTCTCAACTCGACGGCCAGAACCTGTGCTGTCACAGGCCTAAGACCTAGCAACTCCCAAGTAGGCTGTGAGCACAACCGATAGCTTGACTCTTGCTAGCTTTCCTTTGTCAATGTTCCGGGCCCTTTTGCCCTTTCCTGGCATGCCTGCATCTACCATATCTACCCACGTGTTCTAACCCAGCCCTCTTGGCAGTATGGACGTTTTCCACGTACTTTTCGGCTGTGGCATGTACCGGGACGCTTGAGGATTACGTACATGCGGCCATCACACGCATATTTCTATCAGCAAGCCGGCCTTATCCGTTGTTCCGGTAGTCTCGGATGCTTCTGCCGATGCAGTGGCATCTGCAGCCAGTGAAAAGCAGCCATCCCCACTTCGCTTGCACTCATCACAAAACTCGGGGAAGAGTTGGCGGAATTCTGGCCGGGCGGTGTTGAACGCGAAGGATGCTCGGGCATAATCCCGACGCTTGCCTTCCGATGTATGCATGCCGCCCGTTGTGCGTGGCTCGCTTGGGTCCAGCATGAAGGAGACCAGACCCACAAGAATTGATTCAATCCGCCAGGATGGATTCCAGCTCTCTGGGTGAAAATCCGACATGCTCAAACACAACCTTGTGTTGATATCAAACCTGCCAGATGGTGTGAGCATGTAAATGGCTGGCGGCTTGAGCGGGTATTCTCGTGGGAACACTAGTTTCCCTTCGTAAACACCTCCACGGTAAGGTGTCTCGGCCGGCAGGTCATGCAAAACGAAGTGCCACACTAGAATATTTGTTTCAGATGGCCTGGCGACAATATGGGGGATTTTTGGCGACTGCTGGATGATGGCATACTCGCGCCGGAGTCGGGTCAGCGCTGCCTTCTCAGCCATGGCAACAGCAAGGAGTCGGTTGAGCAGGATGCAAGAATGAGTGCTGTGAGTAGGCTGCGCTTGGAAGCTTCGAGTTCACCTATTTTAGGTAGGGAGCCGTTGGGCCAGCTTGGGTACTTTGACATTGGGCTGGGCATTTCTGGAAGAAAGAACTCGCACTGAAGCCAATACAGCCAGCACATGAGCCCATGCGGTGCAAAAACTCACGAAGCGCTTCGACACTTGTTGCAGCAATGGGCATGGGTGCACCAAGTTTCCTGAGCACCAAACTTCTCCTGTCGGACCGGCCTCCAAACTTAAGACTATATGAGCACCGACGGAACAAGAGTGAAAGAAACATCGCATCATTGGCCTGCCAGCTCTTTCTGACGAAGGTGCACCTTTGCATGACAAACGACTGGTTTCCGTGGTTGTGTGTGCTCGCGAGTGCACGCGTTTCTCGATGCGGCATTCTGCGACACCTTCCCTCTAATCACTCAGCAAGTCGTCAAGAGCATCTGTATGCGCGTCACATCATGTCAAACAATCTCGCTCGACATCGGAGGCCTCATCCTCTTCAGCATCGAGCCTTTCCTGAGCCACTGACAAGATAAGTGAGGCTAGGATCATGTGACTTATCGAGCGCACATTGCGTTCGGGACGATGGTCGTGCTAGGGCAAAAGCCTGTAAGTCTTCAGGCCAAGCACTGCCTCATTTCATCGCAACTGCGAGCTCATCTCTGCCCTCAGGCAGCGTCCTCTTGGATGCAGGCTGGAAGTCGCGGTGCTAACATCGCTGCTGCCACAGAAGATGGCCCGGCCCTCGTGCAAACGACACAATGACAGACTCTCACGAATTCGCACAGCTTGCCCAGTGGATGTTTGTCTTCTTGCTTCCGACGGGATTGAACTCAAAGTACTCCTATTCGATTCCCGTTCCTGCTTTGCAGGCTGCGTCAAGCAAGAGATCTATTGAAACCATGAGATAATGAAGTGGCTCCACGTGTTCAGTGGGTAAGATCCAGATCTCCCTGGCCCTGAGATCGGGCGCGCCCCCGAACTGTAGAAACGTGCACCGGATTCCGGAATAAGGGTTCTCTCGATTGTGTAAAGCTATGACTATAACTTACATCTACAAAAAGGAGTCCTTCTTTGAAGTTCCCATGGCCGCCCCAACAAAGAAACAGACTCTGTTTCGCCTGCTTCGCCGCAGGAAAGCTTCCATGCACCTACAAAATTTCGTACATTCAGCTTGCCTCTCAAATTCCTGTTGGGGACGTCGCTTTGGCGTTGCGCCGATGTGGAGGGTAGGAAGCGCAGGCGCCCACACATACATCCCGGCCCCCCAGGGTAGTGCCACAGCTCGCTCCCCCATTGTGGAGCGACATGGGGCACACATGGGCACACGGCGCGCCCAGGCTGGCCCATCCTGCCTGGGAGCGACACGGCTTCTCCCTCGTCCACTCTTGCAAGTATACCGGCTCAAGCTTTCGAGTGGTGAGTAGGCGACGTTCGCAAATACACTTTTTCCCCCAAGCAGCGTGGTGACACTATGGGGCTGGCACAGGATGCGGCCAGATACGCTCTCGCAACTCGGACTCTGCCAGACGAGGTCTCTGTGTCGAACTACGCTCGACAACTCTATTCCAGACAACTCTATTCCACTCAGCAATCAGATGCGGCCAGTTGAGGGAGAGCATAAGCACCGGGGTCTCGACATGCGGCAGTACTTGTGGGAAAGCCTTTTTGGTTGTGGTCTGGTTCCGCCAGTGCATGGCGGAAAGCACTGCGGCCGCACTTCCGAACCCTCCTGAATCCCTCCAGGACTCAGTGCTTGTGGCTCTCGACCGCTTGGGGAAAGCATTCGGGCCGTGGTCCTGAAGGTGCCAGTACTTGGTCTCCTCGTAGTCTCCTGGGTGCAGTGGTCGTGCCAGTATCAGTTGGCGTGGTCATAGGATCGGGGCTCGACTGGTAACTCACCTGATCCGCATAGGTCCGGAAAGCTTTAGCCAGCTTTGTCAGCCGACTGCTCTGCAGGCCGTCCCCGCATTGTCAGCAAAGCTTACTGTTATAGCTGGCATCCCGTCCGATGGCAAGCGGTGCAAGCACACGAGCAGTGCGGAAAGCTCGCCTGAAAGGAATGGTGAACCCTGCACCCCCCCTCCTTGCGGGGGGCTCTCCCCCTCTCTCTGTGGGGTTGGCGACATGCTCAGCCCGGCACCGTTTCAGCTGGGCGCAAGGCCGCAGCACCTCAAAATTGCATCAACGAGAGTTCCCACCAGGTACCGACCTTGTGTGAGTCTCTGAGCACCTCTGGGCACCTGACCGTCACCTTCTTCCTGTGTCCAATCAGCTTCATATTCAACTTCTATGTTGAAGCTCCTTAGGAATGCGGGCGATGGTCGTCCGCAGCATACAGTGGCATTGCACAGGCATGTCAGCTTTATTGGCTGCAGTTCTAGGATATGCAGAACGGTCCTATCAAAAACAACTCAGTACTCACACTGTGCCACACGATGCCGCGCATGAGCAGTGCGAAGCTTAGGAACAGTCGTGCTTTGCGCAGTGCCTTCCTGGGAACCAGCCGGTCTACAGAGTGCATGGCTCAAGGAGAACAATAGACAGTGCCGGTCAGCAGGGGTCCTCTTCCTCTTTCACTGCTCGCATCCGGCTGCCAAGGTTTCCTTTTGGAATGTGTTTCTGGAGCCAGGAAGATATAGGAATTCCGTGTGAGACCACACGTTGCTAAGCCATGGGCTGCGACTCCTCGGACGCTCCTCACGAAAGTAGACATGACATGGCCAATGGGATATGGTAGTCTTTGATTCAGCCTTGCCTGGGGATCGAAGGGAGCCAAAGATGCTTTCGGCACGGTTGCCAGTGTTGCGCCGGCTGCCTGGGAAGATGGGGTCTCTCAGTCAAAAGCCTGTGTTGGCAAAGGCTGAGGGTCGCACAAGCAGCTCCAGCTCAAGCAACATCTTGGCCTCATCTTCCGACAGTCCACGGCCTGGCCACTAAACTGCATCATAAACCTTCTGATAGAGGCTTGACTCAAACTGCGGACTGTATGGGTTGTTTAAATCTTGACAGCTGCGCAGTCCGTCATGGAAGAGGGCGAACAGTCAGTGAGCTTGTGACAGCTGCAGGAAGCGGAAGCTTTTTCAGCCAAATCCCAAGGAGCAGCCAACACTAAACATGTTCCCTCCAGTGTTGGTGCCCACAGCATGCAATTGTGGAGTTGATCGTCCTGAGCAGGTCTTCTTGCGCAGCCTTGTGAGTATGCTAGGGGAGGCTCCTGGACTAGGCAGCCGAGTTGTTGAAACTGCACGTGACACTCTCGTTTTTCCCCATATCGCTCGGATCATCGAGACGTCGGCACCGCCTGAATGTGTAGATCTGAGATGCCATGTGGCTCTAGATCTGTCGCGAATTTCGCAAGGAGTCCTGGTCAACGGAAATGAGAAGCATCGGTGAGGATGGCTGTGAAGGGCTGAAACAGGTCCTGTGCAAGCATGCAAGAGACGAGTGGCTTTGACAGATGCGAGTTGGGACGAGCATTTAAATGTGCGCTGATCTTGTGCACAATCACTGGCGAGTGGCAGAAGCATGTGTACTGGTTGTGGTTGCTTGCCAACTCGACCCTTGTAGACCCACCCCACTGATTGTTGGCAACCTGCCTACTTGCCATTGCCCCTCCGTGCAATACCAAATGACTGCAGCCAAGGTTCTCTGTCTTGACCGCCAAGCCCCGGGAGCGTGCTATCTCCTCTTCACGGTGTTTGCAATGCTCGAAACCTTTAGCTTATCTTGTCCCACTCTGGCTCCAAACTCCCATGCGCAGAAAGAACTACCCAAAGATGCCACAACATGTTCTGCAAGACCAGCGCGCCGCATGGGCTCTTGATACAGATGCTGTTTACCTATTCAGCAACGACGACAGCTAGTCAAGACAGCTCAACCCCGACGAAACAAAACAGCTTCGCCTCAAGACTCGCCCGACGAAACGAAACAGCTTCGCCTCAAGACTCGCACCTGAACAAGCCAAAACAGGAGGACGACCTCCCAAGTAAGACACGTCTGCGCTGCTATCACATTATGTGCCGGGCTGGTGCGCGGCGCTCCTCGAAGTACGACACCGAGCCAAGCTGCTGCCTTTCTACATTGTCTGGCTCCTCAGATGGCACATCCGCAATCTGGAAGATGGATGAAGATGGTCCGTATGGTCCATCAGCTGCCGATCCTGATGTCTCGTTGCTCCAAGGAGCCATAAGAAGAGCAGGTCCGGCGAAGTGAATAATCAGGTCCACGAGCCACGCGACGACTTCCTTGTCATACCTTCTCTACATGTTGGGATGACCCTCTTTTGCAAATAACGCAAAGGGAATCAAACCCTTGGCCAAGACAAGCCGCAGAACGTCTGCCGCAGCTATCATGCCACCGAAGGGTGGTGGCCAGCTATCTTTGTCTGACCAATCGAAAGCTGCGGTGGTCCTGGTTTGTCGCATCAGACGCGGATATTAGCCTTACAGACTTGCCGGCTTGCCGAGGCACACCCTGTCTGCAACACCATTCCGTTGGGCTGACTGCTTCCTCGGCAGCTGAGCGCAAGAAGCAGACGCCCTCATTGACTCAAGCCAAAAACAAACCAAGTCAAGCAGCGAAAGTTCCAAAACCTGGTATGCAAACCGATTCAGCATGTGTGTAGAGCCTCCAGCATCCCTACTATTCTTAGTGCTAACGTGAGGCCAGCGAGTCCCTGTCGCTGATCAGCACTTTCGGCGCCCCAAGCTTGGCAGCAGCAATGCCTCCGGCATGACAGCTCCATGGTCGTGCTGATGTCGTCTTGCATCAATCTCAAACTCTGCAAGCCGGAAGCCTCAATCCCCAACAAAAGCGATCCGTTCATGACATGCACTTGCTGTTGTAGTTTGTAGTGGGGCTTCCACCCACGCCTTCCAAAACATGGAGAGATGCTTCTGGGGCTCGGATACGTCACCGGGGACCCTACTGACTTGAGCATCTGTGCGATCTGCTTGTGCCCTAGAAGTAACATTGAAGTCTGGGTGAGCTTGTCATGATGGCCTGCTAGCCCAAGTCCGGCTCCAATCTCACATAAACCGCGCGCTTGCCAAAGCTCTTTCCTGCGCATGCAGGTGGAGATGCACGGCGGTTCCCTGACGGCAACTGCGAAACGGATGGCAGACTGCACACCTCTGCAAGAGGATTTCTGCAAGAACTTGCTCTGCTGGCCTCAGTATCTCACGAAGTGATTTTGTCGAGACTCTCAAACATGTCCTGTAGCCCTGTGTCCTTCAATGCGGAGGGAGGGCCACACGATGTCCGAAACAGTACCGGCGCCGGCTTCAACTTCTCTTGTAAACCGGCTGATATCGAGGACCTGATGTCACTGAGATATTGTGCTTGACAGCCGTGCATTGAATTTGAGGTCCGGGCGTATGCTGGTATCACCAAATCTATGTCCGCTTCTCCGAGGCTAAACCGTTGTTCGGCTGTCTCGCTGAGGAGGACTTTTCTGGCATTGTTCATGGACGGGTCCTGACACGTGGACGAAACCGCAACCTGAACATGCGCCAAGATAGCACAAGTTTGCGCCAATCTTGTCCTTGCCCAGCCGTTGCTGCCTTCGCTGCTCCTCTCTTGAAACACGGCGCGTGCCACTGGCTGCAGGCGCTGCTCCAAACCCTTTTGCGCGGCCTTTCCTGGCTCACCGAAAGCTTGTGCCCAAATATATGTTATATTTTCGATTATACACATACATATACACGCACACTCACACACATACATACAAAAATAAATACAGATATTATATCTGTATATATATATATATATATGTATACATATTATACAGGTATGCACACACACACATACATACCGACTCACATACATATACAGACCGAACAGGCGCCTCTACTAGAACAGAGATATAAACAGGTAGAGATATAAACAGGTACAGTAGATAGAGTGCAGGCTGCCTACATGAAAAGAGAGTGGCCAGGCTGCTTGATTGGCTTCGAAGGTTTTGTTCTTGGAGGTCCGGGATCAAAACCAGCAGCTGCCCAACCAAAGCACGACATAGCCGTCAGCACACCGGCCTCGGTCAAATGGCACAGTCACATCTTTCAACCGTTTTCAATCCTCCTAGTGGCCATCTCTTTGAGGCGGTCACCGCCAAAAGAAGGTTCCGCCGCCGCGTTATCATGCTAAAGATTGCTAAAATGTCTCTGCGCAAAAGCTGGTCAATGCCAACGTGGCAGGATATTCGATGTTGCGAAGTCGTGCTACAGTATGCCGCTGCACCTGCTTAACGTAACCAGCATGCTGTGGAGGGATCGCTGAGTCTGTTCGCTGTCTGCAGAATCCCTGCAAGCTTGCGTTCCTGGCTTCATGAAGTACCGACCACTCACGGGATGCGATTCGACTTCCTCGATGCTTGGGCAGCTGCAGTCATCTATGCATCTCCACCGTTCCAAAGCTTGCTGGCAATATCTGGCAATGCAGGTTGGCAGGACAGCGATGTGTGATAATGGATCTGGCATCAAGACTGCACCAGGCCTTTCTTTGCATGCTAGGCCAGCAAATCTGTTCGCAAATGATCACACTGCATCACGATCCCTGCAGTAAACATCGCGACAAGCCGACGCACAAGCACAAATATCAAATATCGGTGACTCCGCAAGATGGACAAGGATTTGGACATCCGTCCGCGCCCGACCATGCCAATGTGTTCAAGTTGCATCTCCTTCATCTTTGTGCTTGGAGTTGGCACCCAAACCCGCGGTGCAACGAATTTAGCCTGTACAGTGGAGGCACTCAGCCAAGGCCCGCAGCGCTGCTGGGCTCATTGCTCGGCTCCATGAGTTCAACCTCAGACAGGCACTGTGCGGATACTTTGGCGTAGCAGCGGACGGGATGATTGCCAGCCTCCAGCGTCAAGCTTCTGACGCTTTCCTGAAGCATCCACGGAAGGATCCTGACCCGAGATTTTGCGCATGGGCCAGGCAAAGATTCATAAGGAGCCGAATATTGCGGCCTTAATAATCAGAATATGGTTTTGGGGCCCATTACACTATACTTATAATAAGGAGCCCCCAAAATAGTATTGGCAATTATTTAAGCCCCTACATTAGAGCCTGCCTCCGAGCGATGTCTGGCCATGTCTTGCCTGCCATCCCTCCCCAGGCAAAGAGGAGTTCATCACTTTTCTCACTGTTGCCGCGGCCTGGGAAGCACCACTTCTGGCTTTGCCTGGTTGAACGATCTCTTTCCGTCTTTTTTGTTTCAAAGGCATGCTGCTTCATTCTATTGGTGTCTACTGAGAAATAGGTTGCAGTACGCAAAGCCATGAAAGACCTTGCCACACACTGGAGCGAGGCCTGGAAAGCCGAAGCAGCAATGGTTTGTGGGATCAGGGCATCTCGAGGGAATACAGGTAGGACGCGCGCACCTTGCAGATGCAATGTAAACCATGCAATCCGGATGGTAAGTCTATCACCAGAGTCACTAAGCGCACAGGGCCTGCTGGGGTAGCAGCTCGAAGCCTTTCTACAGACAGGTCCTCGCGTCCCAGAGGCACAGTGCTCGAAACCCGCGAAGCAAGAAGTCAACTAGATTTGCATCATGCGTGCGCTGGTGTTGCCTTGTTGCCGTGGTGCTGCAACCGATGGCGATGCCTTTGTAGCTCCAGGACCCCGACATGCACTGATGCAATCTTGTGGGACATCCAGAAAAGGACCAGGCGAGAGAAAGGAGTATCCTGGAGCTTGCGGCCGCTCCCTGGCACATCTCAGACAGAGACCCCGAGACTGCCTCTGGTCAGTGTATCACCGTGAGTCAGCAAAGCATGAGCCTTCTGGTGTCTTTGTCATCATCAGTAAGCCCGAAGTCAATGCTGCTACTCCTGCGTTTCGACTAGGCACGGGGCGTCAAGCTGCAGGTCTGCAGCATGAGGCGCAACATGCACGTGCCGCTAGAAGCCAGGGCTCTGCCCATCGCTGTCTTCAACAGCTTCCTTTGGCGCCTGGTGCGATGCTGGAATGCGATTCATTGCAGAAGTGAACCTTATCCCAAGCTTTGGCGACGAATCACATGCCCTCAAAACAGTGGTCAGCTGCTGCTTGGCTGGGCATGAGGCTTTGCAGGGAGCCACCGGGCATGTTTTGCTCATGCCAACAGCAACCCGTGGAACCGAACCGAACTATGCCACAAACCGAAGCGGAAGCGCAAGCACATCATCGGATTGAGGGCCCGAGTTCGATAGAACCCTTGCAGGAGCTAAATCAAGCTAAAGGAGCCCTTGAAAGGAAGGCTTCAAGGCGCCCTTCTAGGAGTCCTTAAAGGTAGCATCCTCACGATAAGGACCCCTAACTGAGGTACCTATGGCGCTAAGGCATTGGCTTCAGAGACAGTCACGCACAGTGACGCACGACAGAACGTTGGAGACGTTTTTCGGATTGGGTGCCAAAAAAAGCCCTAGCCGAACAACCGGTCCGAGCCGAGGCCCACGCACTACGGGGGAAACAGTGAAAACTAAAAGGCTGATGTTTCTCGGAGGTTTGAGCGGGGTCGAAGGGCCGAAGAGATTGTAGCTGCAAAGGGGATCAATCCCCTGGAACCACGAACCGAACCGCTTGCGAACCCAACCGCAAACGAACCGCTAACCGCCAACCGGTTTCAAACAGTCCACGCGAACCTAACCGAACCGAACCGCGATCCCTGAAAACAGCCGCTAGGTTCGCTTGCTAAGTCCCAAGAGACTACAGACTCTTGCAGGCAAGTGCGGCAAGTGAAACTGTAGGTGCTTGCGGGCACGACACTTCAAAGCGAGGTGTTGTCTGGAGCTAGTATCTATAGTATTGGACAATGTCTTGCGCTACGCATAGGCCATGTAGGAATCATAAAAACAGTAACCACAACGCTTTTTGAGCATTTGCTGTAATCACAAGATCTTATATCATATCAGAGTCATAATACCAGCACTCCTGGGGCTTTCGCCTCGGCCTTCGTCCGCCTCTCTGTCGCCAAGATGAGGCGATCGACTGCTTTCTTGCGAAATGCTGCCAAGGCCTGGAGCGGATTAGGATCAGGGGCTTTTTTCTGACAGCCACTATAGCAGTCTTGTTTATGAAGCTTGCGAAAGATTGCGAGTGCATACAAGCTTTCACTCACTCTTGGCTTCAGGTGATATTGCTAGACACTGAGGCGCTCTAGCTACGAACTGACTGTCAGCGCCATGCCAACCTGAGTTGAACGACGGGGTTGTCCAGAGTGCAGGAGCATAGCAATTGCAAGTCTTAAGTACATCTTTCACAGGGGTTGCAATCGTCCGTGCGTCCCGACCGTTCCGCTGAATCAAGTAGGCATGCAGGCAGGAGGTACCATCCCTCACCATCAGGCCACGTCGTGGAGACATGAGACGAACTAAACGGCATTTCCTTGACTTGTCGCACTTGTGTCGATGAGAACATAAGCCGGGTCGGGAAATTAATCAAGAAAAGCTGGCTGAATCAAAAAACCAGGTTCCGCTTGCAACAAGCGGTCGAGTGCAGCATGTTTGTAGCAGAACCGTTGCAGCTTCCGCGCTGCCCTCTGTGGATGGCTTTCTGACTTACCAGATGCGAAAGACTGACGGGGTCATGCATCGGAAACCCATGCATCTTTGGTTCGTCAAGCATCCTGGAAGAAACGGGCAGTTGCTGCTTACCAGTACCACTTCGGACATCAAAACGTGACACAAACGGTGCTGCTTCTTCTCGAGTTTAGCAGCTTAGCATCATGAACCAGCGCGTGCCAAACGTAATCCCAAAAGGGCTGCTTGGCCGCGGACCGGCACAAACTCTCGTGTTCTCTGCGAGAGGTTTCGGAGCGCCTGCATTATCGCTGTGAATGCTTGGGGGCAGGCGATCCAACTCAGCAATGCAACGGACTAGGCCACGTGCTTCGAGCCTCCTCATCTGCTGTGCGCATGCCTAGACAGAGCTCCTTCTCTGCCTCTGCTGCGCTCTGTGCGCAGTACAGACACTGCATCATTCGCAATAGCGGGTCTCTTTCCGCCGCCTTAGATTGAAAGTCGTGGATGCTGTCCACAGTTCAATCTAGGCTGTGATTTAAATTACTGCCAGAGCCAAAGGCACAAAGGCCGACTTGATTGAAGGCCCTGAATCTGATCGGCTCGGCTCTCCTTGCAATCCTGGAAGGAGAAAGGCTGTGCCCACAAATGCGTACGCGCAAAGCACCGGCTGCCCTCCGCTTCCTGCACCAGAATGGAGGTGCGATGTTTGCTTGCCCAGGTCAGAAGTGATCAAGGACAACAGCGTCTGGTCGTCCCCACAGCCAGTGTCGCTTCTCGTCTCCTCTTCCTGCCGTGTCACATCTCCTAAGCAGCTTCTCGGAGAGCCCTCGCTTGCTGTGTTAGGCTAGCCAGCACGTGCTGAGAATGAATTCGAAGGCCGTCACAAAGCCTTCACATGGCCGAACTGGGGTGTCGCCACTGGCCGGCAGCTTTGGCGAGGCTGGCCGCGCCTCCGTAAGTTGGGCAGTGTATTTTTGACTTGATTCGGAGGTTGAGCATGAAGGGCCCTTCGAACGGATGCAGCCACGAATCCGCATGTACTGGAGGTCGTGCTCGTCTGCCAGCTCCTTCTTCACGACTACTTCTTCTTGCTTCACCTGTCAGTAGTCCTAAGCTGACCTCGAGTCTCGACGACCCCGAAGCCGTCGTCTTAACAGGATCCTGTGAATCTAGCAGGGTTCCACGCTATGATCCGTACTGTATTCCAGAACGAGTGGATCCCTACGCCGACTCAACAGGATGAAAACACTTGCGGCTGTTCACGGTTTTTACGGGCCTCCTCCTTTTTCAGCACTTTGATAGCTTTGCCTCGAAGTTCGGCCTGCAACGGAGCTCGAAGCAAACGCACAGCTACAGGACGGTTGCGCTGCCACATTTCGGACGTCGAGTCATTACACTTACAGATACCAGAGCATACCGAAGCCCTGCGTCTTCGACTGCTTGAACGCGCACACTAAGGCCTGCAGTTGCAAGCAGCAGCCCCCGCCTTGACTTGGGATTTGACCGGCATCAGGCGAGGAACCTGGCTGCAAACGACATGGGTCAACTCCTGCTGCCCTGGTCACAACCTTGCCTTTCTCAGGCTTGCAGCACATCTTCCTGAGAACCGTCTGGGCTGCGCCGGTGGCTTGCGCCGCGCCTCGAAATGTCGAATTACTGACTCGCATCTTAGTGGCTGGTCGCAGTCTGTGCCTGACCCTTGTTCTTGACCTTGAACATGCGCTGTCGCATAAGCTTCGCTTGTTCCCAAAGCCTTGGCAGTTTTCGGTGAACCATGGACTTCACAAATTTTGGCCTTTGCACGTGATACGGAGATGCAAAACCTCGCGCAAAACTTGTACTGTTCAGCATTGCTCAGACCTTGCAGACATGCCGCCCGAGTTGTTCCAGGCACGTTGCAGCCGCCGGCAGCGAAAGTGGAGGCCGGATGTCTGTAGGGCTTCCAGAGAAGCCACCACAACGCTCTAGACCTGGAGAAAGGTGTTTGCAGGAAGGTGGCGGTTGGAAGCAGACGACATCAAACCACCAAACATGTGATGTTACAACCACCATCCATGCCAAAAGATTTGAGATCAAGAGCGTAGTTTCAGTGAATCCAGATCCGTCACGCCAGCAGCGAGCAACCGGCGGAGCAAATGACGAGCACCAGATACCATGTCCTCAAAGGGCGACATGCGTGCTCCAAATGCTGCCTCACACAATTACATGCCAGCTACTGCTCTTCCAGCGGTGCCAACGGGCCTGGGGATCGCGGCGCTTCTGAGCACGAAAGCACCAGGCAGCCAACGAAGATCGCATCCATCGGGGAAATACTGCGACCCACAGTTGGACGGTTACTATTTGCTCATCTTGTGGCAGAGCTGCGTGACCGTACATTCCTTGCAAGATCTGCCAATGTGTCCAAGCGAAGACTGAGAAGGCTTGACTCGAAATTCAGTTTCTTGCTTCTCAGTCGCGTATGGCTCTGCCCACGGCCTGTACAAATGCACTGGGCGATGCCTCAGACACGCGGTGCTCACCCCCCCCCCCCGGCGACAATGCAGCATGGACCAATTCAAAGCGACTCCGCACTTTTGAAAAGCTACTGGCACGTCGGCAAGATGAAGCCTTCGCACTGCCATGAAGCTTACGCCCTCGGAGCATTGCGCGGCGTCTGCGACGAGTACACCTGCAGCCGCTGGAAGATCATGTGCCATCTTCGTCAACACGGTTGAGTCAATTCTACCTCCAAGAAGACTCTGAGGTGACGGCGAAAGCGCTCCCCTCTAAGATTCGAGGGGGAGTTGAACCTTTAACAGAACGAGGCAGCTCACGGACACGCCGCAGTAAAACAATGACCAACGTTCCTAAGGGCCATGCTCCGCAAGCTCTTCCATTGTTGCAACGCCAAACTTGCTTCCGCCGCAAGACCTCTCCTCCAAAGCACACAACACACACATGGCAGGAGGGCGAAAGCCCGCAGAATTCCGAAGGCATCATGCAACAAGACCCGGTAAGCAGTCAAAGTCAAGCATCATGAGCGAAAGCGCCTGCAAATGCTCAACCAGAGCTTTTAGTCCAGAGCTGTGTGCGACCAACACCAAGGCCTGCCAGATTGCTCGCACATTGAGAATGGCACTGACGAAGTACCCTAGAACCCTAGCCGATGTCCCAACCTTCTCGGCATGCTGCACAATGTTTTCTGCAATGGCAAAAAGCTTTGGAGCGCATGTCTCCATGTTCGCAAGGATGCGAGCCTGCAGAGCGTGGGGATGCTGGCTGTTGCAGACAGAGTTTGGATCTTATCCGATCCGATCCCTCATGAGTGTCCTTGCTGCCGCTTCGCCCGTCGTGCAGGCTGCCGAAGTGTACCTCAGCAAAACCAAGACGCTAATGCCATGCAGCGCCAGCGCTGAATACGTGCACGTTGGATAAGAAGACGGGGGGATGAATTTGGGCGCACATGTCTTAGAATCTGCAAGAACCACCCAAGAGGAAAATAATAAGTTTAGGATGCCCTGCCCCCGAAACCTAATCTCTTATTATTGAATTTAATTTCGTAAATGAGGTCCCAAGACGAAAAACAAGACCCTAAACGTTTCCCAGGTTTTTGTCGGGACGACCCAAAACGAAACAACAAATCCATCCCTGGATTCAAGATTTCTTATTAACCGCTTTCCGGTGTTTTTGGCGGGACGGCCCAAAAGGAAAATCAGAAATCCAGCGCCGCCTGGATTTCATATTTTCCTTTTGTGGTTCTGGCCCGTTGCCGGGACGGACCGCCCGCAAGGAGACTAAGACTTTCAGCCCAAGCGCACGATAAGCAATCCAGGGTACCTGAACCTGGCGGGTGTGACTAATGACCCTGAACCAAGCGCTGTCTGAATAAGAAACCTAGGGTACCCGGCCTCCGTGAGCGGAGCTTCTTATCCAACGAAGTCACTGTCGTCACTATGTCCCGTACTGATGGTCGCGCTCTAGCATCCCAGCTGCTTCACCACGTCTGCTAGGTCTGCCACATGCACAATCACGCGACGGAGTTCCAGCAGACATCTGAAACATTGGAATGAATCATCAGGCCAAGCTTCACACAGATTGCAAAAAGCACGAAGTCGCTTTTCAGGCAGCCCTCTCCTGAGCTGAAGGCCCTACATTCTGTTGCAAGGATCGATCTTCACCGTCCGTCTGACCGGTAGGCCAGCTGCAAACGCTTGCAATGAGGCGCACTGAGCCGCTGCATGCTAGGAAGCGTGAAAACTCCAACTGCTTCGAAGACTGTTAGCTAAGTGAACAGCAGAATCACTTCTCACCCCAGTTCTTGGCGTTGCCAAGCATCATTCTCTTAGCATCATAGCGCTTCAAGGCTTCCGCAGACAGCATGACCTTGTGAAACATGTCATAGGCACAAACTGCCACTTGGTTCATTGCTTGCTTTCCAGCCTTGTGCACCATTTGGCGCCTCAATTTCGGAGTAAGGACGGCATCCGGCACGCCTGGCAATCTTGTCTCGACATGGCATCCCCGATTCCTTGCTTGCACTATCTGCCTTCGAGTACGTACTGAAAGCAAACTTGCGTGCGCTTGATTTGAAACACGTTTCATCGCACTCGCTTGTAGAGGCAGCGGTTGTCTTGCAGTACCGTGGGACTGGAGCACAGGCAAGCCAAGGACTGCCTCGTGGAAGGGATGTCCTGATCATGCAGAGCATCTCTGAGCACACAGATTGCACACCCCTGCATGGTAAGGCTACTAAGGCCGAGATTCGGAAACAGGCCAACCTTTGTTGAGGCAGTAATCTTTCCTTGTCGCTGGATTGAGTTGACATGTTGTGCCAAGCAGCTGGGCGCATAGGAAACGAGGAGAGGAAGCCACCATCGCCCGGAGGGGCAAATGCACCCTTCACAATGTCCTCAACAATCACACTTCATGCATCTCAAGGAGCTGAGTAACACCCTCGGCAGACGAGGGCGACAAATTGCTGCAATGAATCCAGGAGCTGTCTGCCCTCACTTGCCTGTGACAAAGTTTGAAAGCAAGTGAAGAACTCCGTTCGTCGTTTTACACAAGTCTCACGAGAGCACCTCGTTCAGGATGGGAGTTCCTGTGAACCCCACCAGCACCGAGCCGCGCGCAGTCGAGAGGAGGTTTCCTAGTCCCACAAGTGCGGCGACGTTGGCGTCTGTATACATCCTTCGGCCAAGTTGCTAAGCCGTGCGAGTTGCTCACCATATTGGGTCTGCAGCCGGACCAGGTTATGGACCTGTGCTGAAGCCAATCAGTGGTTCAGAGGCTTCTCCAATAGGCTCACATTTGTTTGGGCCTCGTCCATGATAACGACCTCTGACAAGTTCAACATATTCCATTCGACAAGTGCGCGCCTACATGCAGCGGACCTTGTTCGAGTAAGCATTGCCAGCAGCTTGTGCGCGATCAAAGGCAACCTTCAGCAAAGCGCTCACCGGCCATCCATCCTTAGACTGCCACGCTAGGTCATCTGCCGCATCTGCCTTTTCCTTCCGCTTTGCTTATTGGGACGACTGAGCTTGGAGACATCTGAATCTGCTTGGAGTCTTGGTTTGGAGGGTGCTTCTGAGTCCAAGCTTCCGGCCGAAGATCTGCCTTGTCAGGAGCTTCAAGCTTGAAGTCTTACGCCTTGCCCGCTGAAGTTAGCTCAGCTCCGAACATGACGACCACCTGCTGACGTGTACCGAAGGGCCCGCAAGGGTGCAGCTGGGGCAACTTCGTCTGGGAAGCGAGTGCGGAATGCCTCCACGAAGTCACAAGCAAGTCTGACTGAGTTTCGGCTTGCGAACCGCTACAGCCAGGCTGCCTCTCTGCGCGAACGTCTCATTCTGCCCATAAAGAACCTCGGATCAACAGCATCGTGTTTGTTACGACATGACATGTCGAGCATTGTCACATCACTTACTCGCAGGCTCCAAGGGGCCATCCCTTCATTTCCAGCACCTCCCGCATGTTGTAGCACAGCTCGTGCATGACAACACCAGACAGGTCCTTTTGCGATCGTGTTCCCGCCGTAGTGAGAACAGGAGATTTGTGAACGTGCACGAAGCTCAGTATTCTCAGTGCCAGAGCACGGCCAGGTCCCAGCGAAGCCTCCGTCGAGAGCGCCAGTCTGCACAGCCACTGGCTTTGGCTGCATCCTGCGGCCTTTCAGGAAGCACTGTTTCCGCGTTTGCCCAAACAATGGAAAGAACACTTTGCTCCTGGCCTCAGGCAGGCAAAGAAGTCCCGATACCTGCACACAGATTGAGAACCGTGTCATAAACCCAAAGGAGTTTCTTGGGGATCCACCGGCTGGGCCATCGAAGTAGTTCCATGTAGAAGTTGCGGCAGACCGGCTCCTGCATACAGCGACGTGTGGGGGTTGATGCATCGTGACTCAGGATACGCGTCCTTGGGAAATATAGGCACCTTCGGTCGCGGGTCCAAGAAATAGTTGTCCAAGACGCAAATCATCTCTCGAGTCTTGCCTGGACCCGAGGATCTGGCTGCTGTTGGATTCATGGTTCAGGGCTCTTGGATCCATGACCTAGATTGTTTTAGGGAAATTCCAGGGCCAGGAGCCGAAAACAACGGGGCAAGGCATGAGGCGGGTAGGAGAATGGCAAAAAGACAGTAAACAAATACAAACCCACTTCCGAATCCGTCCTAACCTGATCTCGAGACAGGGAGCCACTCCCTCTACTCACTCTTGTTTAGGGCTTGGCAAAACCTTGAACCTATCTCTGAAGACTAGAGCCCTATACACCCTACCTGGGACCTGCTGCAACACGACACGGACAGGCATTACGACCATAGCTGCTGTTAACGACGAAAGTGACTGCGGCTGCAACCATGCCGAACCACTACTCCTATCAGTATCCCTCTATTTCATAATATGAGACCTCGCGCTCAACCCCTCCCCTGAAAAAGCTGCAGATTCGCACCGCAGCTCTCGCACTGCACCCTCCCGGAGGTCTGAGTTTCTGTGCTTGCCATTGCTGATTTGCTGATGCTGATGTCGTCGTTGCTAACCCCCCACTGCTCCTTTGTGCTTGCTTCGCGGGATCTCCCATCCGCTTGTCGGAATAGGAAGAATGCACATGCAGCAGTGACTGCGCTTGAGGCCTGATCCCGTAGGATGATCCACCAGCCTTAGCTTCTCTGAGTTTCGATAACAGTCCGATCCATCGCACGAGGCCCCGGCATCCGAGAGATGGGCGACTGCGGATGCAGCATAAATGCAACCGCCTGCATTCCAGCAACAGCCCATCTAGACCCCAGGCTCAAAGCCATCGCCTCAGCCTCAGCCATGCTATAACCTCAGCGTGCAAAATGCCTCTTGATGTGGCTGGAGAGGTGGACATTCGCCTGTCTTTGGAGCGGTGTGACGCTTCATAACGCATCAGACTAGTTGCTCGCCTTCGGCGCGCCGTCCCTTCAACTTCCTGCCAATTTTAGCATTCCACATCACTCGTGCCTGGCGATACATGGAGAAAGTTGTTTGAATGGGCTGCGAAGACTCGAGACCACAATAGCGCTCACAACTTAGGAAGGCAAGCGGCAGCAAATCGGTTGAAACCTGCGCACAGCATGTGGGGTCGACAATAGAAGAGGAATTGCGGGAAGCAACACCTGGCGAGCCCAGTTCAGGAGCCCCATCCCAATTTCCCATATAGGACGGATCCACCGGAACGGGCTCCTGCAGAGTAAAGCGAGGCGATGACGAGTCGAGGCTTTCCCAAAGTCCCAAAGTCGGCTTCCCTCGGGTCCTGGCTGACGATCAAATCTTTTAGCCCTCCTGGAGTTCGCTCGGCACAGTATTGCCCCGACAGCAGCGAAGCGAAGTGTGGAACAGCTGAAGGCAGCGGGCTCCGAGTACTTCCACTTCTCGGTCCACTTCTTCTTCACCATCGAGATCAGATGCATCGGACATCTCCTGCGATCCGTACCGTTGATTCACCCGGAAGTTGGCATTTTCCCTCATGCCCGCAGACACTGAACCTGTGCTACGGGGGTTGGGGCCCTTCCTCTCAATCCGCGAACCAAATCAAACGTACATCAAGGTTAGCTGGAGCTAGCAGCTCCCATCGGTATGTCCTTGTCGTCAGCACTGCTCTCTGACGATGTGCTGTCGCTGCTCGATGCTTCACCATCGTCCACAGCCTTCCAAGTCTACTTCTGCATCACGCTTAATGGCCGGGGGTTGTTTCTGCACCGTCTATACCAGTCACTGATCTATTCCTTCACCATCTTTCCCTCGAGCACTCCTGCAACTTTGCTCAGCTACCAGACAAGTTGCTAGACAGATTGGTTCTCTGTCTTTCGGCTGTCGATTCCCCGAGGTAAGCCTTGATCGGGCCGGTGGCTTTTTCCGTGATCGGGCCAGTGGCTGTTGATGCCGTGTTCCTGGCCGTTGTGGTGTCCTCTGCAGCTTCATCTTCCTCCTGGCAACAATGGCACTCAGGGCACACGTGCCCGGAATGACAGTGTGACAAGGGAACCGATGAGCTGCATTCAATCATGTCTAATATATAAGACTTAAGCTGCAAGTCAGGTATGCTAAATGCTATACTCGGTTTTGCGAGCCACTCATAGTCTTTAAGCCATCCTCCGAAGACGAACTTTCGGAAGAGGAAGAAGAGGAGGAAGAAGAAGTACTGGAGCCATCAGGTTGCACCTTGACATCAGCACTGTTTGGCTTGGAAGCTCGGCGACTGTTGCGGCTCCTGCCTGATCTTTCATCTTCCAAACCCTACCAGGGTCGCCCTGGTTATATACAAGCTGATCTGGAGACGGCCGCAAAACACGTCGTCGGCTTCATGCGGCGGTGAGTGGGTGCACACGCTTTCATGCTGACATTGTGAAAAGCACACCAGCAGTCACCGGCACCATCCATCATCATCCTCTTCGTCCTCCTCCACATGGCCCTCTGCAAGGGCAGCCTCTGCTGACTCGGCAGGTTGTTGTAACCACTGGACGCACGGCCTTTTTCGCTCTTCCAGCGCTGCGGGAAGGAAATCCGAAGCGCGTGCCAAGCTTGCTAAAATGCCAGGTGCCAAGCATCATCACTGCGCTCACTGCACCGGCACCCCAGGCCTGCAATTGAGCATTCTGACCCGCATAAAGCAAGCCTGCGCTATCTAGACAAAACTCTTCTGGTTGTTGCCACGGCACACCGCCCCGCACTTGGCTGGATTTCCATTTCTTCGCACGGAAATGCCGCTGGGTGTACGAGCTCCGGGCCTCATGTGCCGATATTAAGAGCAGACGCCGAAACACGTCCGTCAAGGGTCGGTTGACTTTTGGTGACTTCTGAGAGTACCACTTTGCGGAGCTGATTGGCAACGGAAATTTGCGCAGCCGCTGCACGCACCCTGAGCTATCGCAGGCTCTTCGCAGCACGCACATGTAAAGCTGAAGACCGCATATGAATCGATGAGGTACTTGCCCTCTCCCTCCCAAGCCGAAGATGAAGTACCAGCAGCAGCAGGAGGAGCAGGACCAGGAGCAGGAGCAGTAGGAGTGGTAGTAATAATAATAGCAGTAGCAGTAGCAGTAG